AGAATCGAAACCGAAACTACAAACGAATTCGATTTAGTTCATTAATTTCAACATATCATGTTTACTTTAACTTTAAAAATTGGCATTATTTCAGATTAAAGCAAAATGTTAGCTACTTTTTACAACAATAGGGGAGATTTTCACTGAATTTCCTTGTTTCAGTGGTTTTTATGCGTAAACTGTGCAACAGGTTATCACAATCTCGATCACAACATTAAAATATTTCAAATGAAAACAAAGTTAACTAACATTAAAAAAAAACTTAATTTTTATATATTTTCAGTGGGTTTGCGCAAACTTTTAGTAACTTTTGTTCAGCATTGGCAACTCTGGCATAGGCATCCACACTTAGTGTATACTTCGATCACAGCCACACACTTTGTTTTTTTGTTGTGCGTGTGGGCGTGTCATCGTCGCAATTCACAACATATGCTATCACATTACGTAGATGGCCTGTAATGCGCTTCCGTTTTCCAGCAGGTAATTGCCACAGCAGCCCTGGCTATTTTGAGTGAGGGAGGGGATGGAGCACGGAGAGGGAGGGGGGGCGTGTGAGGGCAGGCGGAGTTTGCGGCACAGCAAAGGCGCCGATGCCGCTTAGCGAACGGCGTTTTTTCGGCTCATTTGTAGCCGCTACTTAAGGTCGCCTGAGATTCGGTTTTGTTTTTTCGATTTTTTTTTGGGCAGATACCAGCAATTATACTTCCGCTAAGGGGCGGGAAGGAAAAGAAATAAGAAACAAAAAAAAAAATAAAAAAAAATATAAAGAAAAACGTTGGATCCGAAAGCGAATACGATACCGAAACCGAAGCCAAAAACCCAAGTTGGTTCGTTCATTCGTGCCTCATTCAGTGATCGAGCACGCATTCATTCATTCATTCACGCATTCATTTATTCATTCATTCATTCATTCATTCATTCATGTAGTGTTGATTGCCAGCTTTTTGTCTTTTTGGGGGCAGCCTCTGTCGCATCTCTCTCTCTCTCCCTCTCTGTATCTGTCTCTATGACTCTCTTGGGGCGGCATCTTCTTCCTAGTGCAAAAAGCACGAAAACTCAAAACTCAGCTTTGCAGACGAGAAGGATACCCTGTAGGCAGGTTTTATATTTGTAAGAATTGCCGCATTCAGATTGTTAAAACTTGGACTGGATATATATGAGATCAATTTTTGGACCTACTCAAATAGAGATTTGAGAGTGACAAGCACAAACAGACAATTTGATATATCTGCATATACAGTTGCGGAAAAAATAATAGCACCAAAACTTTTCTTTTTTGTAAGTTTAAAGAAAGTTTTTGGAAGTGGAAGAAGACTCTTAAAAAAATGTGAGAAAGAAAAAATTTACATATTATGAAAGAGGAAAAAAATTAAGAAAATAAATAGTGGAACCACTCTTCAAATCTGCACACGATTTTTATAAAGTGTATATATGCTATATATATATATGTATATATATATATATTTGTTAATTGAAAAGAGTTCCAGGAGCAGAAATAATTGTAATTTATAAGCGGAATGCTAAACAATATATTTAAAAAGTAAACACTTTTTATATATTTGTAGGGTTTTTCTTGAACGATTTGTAAATTGTACGGGGAATAAAAACAAAGAAAGAATAATATAAATAAAAATGAAAAATAAAACGCCAATAGTTATACGAAATGCGGCAAACAAACAAGAACCAAATCCAAAATTTTTTGTTTTGTTTTGGGTGTTTTTTTTTTGTATCTTCAGTTTATCTTTTGTGGCCGACATTAATCATAATTTTTGGGGCTTCTATCGCCGAGCGTGAAATAATTTTTATGCGCCGCTTTTACGGAACGAACACAACATCCGAGATGCGAGATCCGAAAAGGTGTCAATCGCTAATTTGACTTGATGAGAAATGCGGAGAACACAGAACTGAGAACGGAGAAGAAAAAAATAGAGAGGAGAGAGCAGAGAATTGTGTGAATGGATTGAGAATGCAAAAGTGAGGAGAAGAAGAGGAGATGCTTTGTGTTTTTGCAATTAGCAAATGCGCCAAATGCTATCGATCGTCAAAATGGTGCAAGGTCATGGGGTCATGGGGTCGGGTCGTTATCGGAATGAGAATACAAAAACAACAGCATAAGTCTCAAGTCACCATGAGTGACTTAAATCAAGCAGCGACGGCTATTGTCGAGATAGTTAATTATCTTGAATTACTACAGGTTGCAATTATTATTTGTTATTATTATTTATACCCCGAATCCATTATGCAAATGTATGTAACAAGCACAAGAAAGCATCTACGACTCCATAAAGTAGATATTTATATAGATTCTTGATCGGCATCATAGTACGAGTCGATCTAGCCATGCCCGTCCACCTGAACAAGTTAGAGGCTTCAAGTTTGAAGTATAAGTTCTCGTAGATACCATACGTAGATTAATCATGTATCATATTATCGAAAATACATTCGAAATCGATAAGAATCGATTACAGTTAGCAGTATAGCCAACAATTTTAAAGATATGTCTTTCCCACCGTGTATTTACATATTGAGCATTTGTACATTTATCAAGATCGGTTAAGAAACAGCAGTAGATAATCGTATATTCATTCACACTCACATGCATGATTTGAATTCAGGGTATCCCCTAATCGAGCTCTCTCTCGACTGGAGTATTCTTCTCCCTCCTTGTAAAGAACAAATGGTTTATTCTCATTCCCATCTTAATCTAACTATCCTCATTAATTAATTAATATATATATAGAAGAAGACTTCAGACAAGCAAATCTGTATGCTCTCCAGTTTCTGGTGAGAAGAAAGTTTTGAAGAGACGATAAATGTATAATGCAACTACTCAATAGGTCATTATAAAATTCCGAAGGGTATTTAACTATATATCATTAACATGGCTCATATCTCAAATTGTTACACAATAATAATAATAATATTAATAATACAAGATCATCTCAATAATACCGCTATGAAATGCCAAAGATACATTTTCAGATATTTGATGCCCACATGAAAACCCAAACTCAGTAGCACGGACAGTGGGACGGACGCATGAACAAGGGGACAGAAAGGGATAGTCTGACCCAAACAGCCGGAGTAGAGCAGTTAACACAGACTCACAACAGACTGAGACAGACAGACAGACAGACAGACGGACAGACAGACAGACAGACGGACAGACAGTGATGACGCAGCAAGTGTACAACTATCTCAAAGACTGAATGGCAACGGGGAATGCAAGCAAACAGAGAGAAGAAAGAGAGAGAGAGAGAGAGGGGACAGAGCGAGAGGGAGAGAGATAGGAATACGGGAACCTGTTGCAGTTTCGTTTTAGCCACTTGAAAAGCAATTTTTTAAAATGTATTTTTCATTTATTGCTTTATTTTTGTTTTTTTTTTACCTTTACCTTTTCCGTGTGGCCCATTCTCATTCCCATTTCCATTCCCAATCCAAATCCATTCGAATTTCTATTCCCATTCTCAGCTGCTTATGCGATTAGAGCAAGAGGAGCTCAGCCCGAATTGAAGCTGATGATGATGCTGATGCTGTCTGCCTGTAGTATGTTTATTTGTTTTGAGAGTCGAGAACAATTCTCTTTCTGAAAACCTTGGCTTGGTCTCAATGGGCGCGGGCAACAATCGAAAGTAATATAATGAAATCTCAGGGAACAGAAATCAACAAGAAACATTGCTCGACTGCAAAAGGAAGATAGAGAGAAAGAGAGAAAGAAAGCGAGAGAATTGACCGACTACACGATACCCTATGTACCCACTTCTAGTTTCACATATACTATATATATATATATATATATATATATATCTTATATGTACATGTTGTATATATTCCGGTATATTCTTCTTCTTCTCAACAGTAGAAATACATCTTCCATTCAGCATACTCTCTTTATTGATCTCATACAAACAATGGGTGCAAGCGAGAGAGAAAAACAAAAAAAAAATATTTGCTTACTCTTCTGTCTGCCTGCCTGCGACGACACTTGCCTTGATTTTTATTATCTTGGGCTTTTCACTAGCACACACAGGTACACAAACACACACACACACACACACACACATGTGAATATTTGTGCATTGTTGCTGCACTGCCTTTTGATTTATTGTTAGCAGGAATAACACAGACAAACAGTGAGAGAGAGAGGGAGAGAGAGAGAGAGAACGGGCTAAAGGCATGCTGCATAGACCAATAACAATAACAACAACAAAAACAACAACTGCATTGTTGCTGCTAAGCACAAATCGCTCTCCCATTTGCTGTCGCTGTTGTTGTTGTTTTAGTTCTTGCATTCCGCACTTGAATATTTTTACCTTTTGCCAAGAATTGTGCGTGACTCTCTCTTACGCTCTCTCTCTCTCTTTCTGTTGCTCTTTTTGTGGGTCTCTGTGTGTGTGTGTGTTGGTTTCTATTCTTGTGCGGGCGCAGCAGCCAACGGCGACGTCGCCGTCGCATTTGTAGACAGTTTATTAATGTTATCAACAGCATGGGGTATGAGGAGATGGGAAGGGGAAAGGGGGTAACTGATCGCTCATTTCGTTTGCATTTCGGCCGCATCGTTGTAGGTAACAACATCAACAACAACAACAACAACAACAATAAATCGTGCAGCTCGTATTACTGAGCGCAGTTGCTGCGCTGCTGCTGCTGATGCTGCCTGGGTTTGTGTCTCTGCTCAAATCAATGTTTAACTGCAAAGCACTTGTTGTTGCTGTTGTTGTTTTTGTTGTTGCCGTTGCTGTTATTTGCAGAAATGGGCCAAAGTCGAGTTAATAAAAAAATAAAACAACAAAAAAACACAAAACTGGTGGCAACTATTGGCCAAAAAAGGACATGACAACATGCGTCGTTCACTTGGCCAGTACAAATTGTCAAGTTGGACGGAACGGGCCAGGTTGCATTTTATGGCCAACTTGTTGACCAGATGAACTACTTTCCAGTCGTGCAATTGCCGTTAGCTGTCGTTGCAAAACAACAAAATATATATATGCTCAACTCACCTGTGTGCTAGGGTTCCAGGATTCCAGGATTTCAAATCGTTGATTGCCGTTGGTTGCCTTCACTTCTCGCACTCCATTGACATATTTGAGTAGAGTGAGAGTGCGAGAGAGAGAGAGAGAGAGCGAGCGCGAGTGAGAGGAGGAGAGCGTTCCTGCTCTGCACAATTGCTGTTGTTGTTATTGTTTTATTTTTTTCTTTTTTTAACCACTTGGTTCATTCACTAGTTAACAGCGATAAAACATGAGAACCTATTTGCAACACATAAAAAAACCAAATCGTAAATTTATTTTATTTAGATCCAACAACAAAAACACAAAATAGAAGAAATAAAGAAAATGCTAAGAAATCGTATTATATTTGTTGGGGGCATTGGAGTCAATTAGTTGATGCCACATCCGTTGGCATTAAATTGGGCAACGGAACATTTCCCAAATTCTACACTCCAAAAAGTTGTTGAGAAAGAGGAAGAGCAGCAAACAGCAGCAGCCGGCAAAACGTAAACCGCAAAAATTGATATTTTTACGGTTATTGTAAATGAATAAATATAATTAATGGCCAAACATTCATTCATTTTTCGTCCAAGAATTATGTTATGAAACATTCGCAATCTATACATCGGTAAATCACTTGTGTGTGAATAAAAATAAATAAATGTGTCTGCTAATAGATCAAGTTGTACATCATTTAATTATACATAATTTTGTTAACCGATTTGTTGTTTTTATGTATTTACGTATGTACATAACTGTGCATTTGAATGTATTTATGTATGCCATCTGTATTTATGTATTTATTCTTTTATTTTTTTTTTATTTACATCATAGATCATACATCATTTAACCCGATCGTACATCATTTCAAGTATTTATGTCATTTTGTTGTCGTTGTTTCGTTGCCTTTTGCAGCTGTTTGCCGGTCGACGATTTAAAAATACTAACAAAATAAAAACACGGGATACACAGAACTACAGAACAAGTATAAATAAAAACCAAAATAAGACGAAATGAAACACAAAAAAAAAAACAAGAAAAAGAAGAACAACAAAAACACAAACAATGCAAACGCTTTAAGCACTTCACACGCACTTTCATTGTAGTTGTTGTTCCTTTTGTTGTTGTTGTTGTGCTTGGATCTGTTTGCAAAGGCAAATTGCATTTGCTGTCATTTGATGTGAAATGATATGAAAACAGGTAGGCGCAGTAGGCAATGCTCTCGTTAGCGTTAGTATTACCATTTATATCATTAATAGCTATTCGCACAATAACAAAACTTAATACAACAAAAAAAAAAAACATTAAAAAAACACTGACGAGAAAGACGCCAAAAAGACGCGTTGGGAAAACCGAATTGAGGCGCACACTGCTGCTGTCAGATAACACACACAACCTGCCACCGCCGCGTCACGTAAGTAACTGAACGAAGACGTGACGCGGCAACAAGACCGGCGAGGGCTTCACGACGCGTTCGGCTTACTTCGTTCGGCTCGCACGAAACGCTTGTCGAGAGCGACGACGATGAATGCGAATGCAATTTTACAATGCTTCTTCTAGGGATCTCACCAACACAAGCGCAGCGCTGCGTTAAGGAAGCTGCGCCTAATGAAGTCACCCACCCTCCCCCAACCCCACATCAACCAGACAATAAACACGTGCATTTTTTTGACATTTTTTTTTGTTTTTAATATTTTTTTAAATATTTTTTTGTTGTATTTTATTTATTGTTATCCACTCAACAGGTTCGTTTTGTATTATACATTTATGCTGATAATAATTTTGTTGTTTAATGTTTATTCTTTCTGAATTAACTGCATAGTATAAGTATATTTAGTTTAAATTTATAAATTTGTGCAATGTGCTTGCTTGTGTGTATGTGCGTGTGTTTGTGTATGCGTGTATTATATGCAATTGGTTGTTGTTGTTGTTTGGTTGCTTGTAAGTTTAAGGACTGTTAATTGTTAAGCTGCACAACATTTTACACTGGGTTCTCAACGAAAAAAAAAAAACAAAATCATCGAAAATGAATAGATAAAAAAAATTAATGATTATAAAATGCTAATATATAGTTTGTTCTTGTTTGTTTGTTGTTGTTGTTGTTGTTGGCTAGTATGCGTTGTTTTTGTGTTCGAGTTAGTTGGGCCTTAAAAATCTATGTGTATTTTATTGTTTCGCTTGGAGTTGGTTTTTGTGTCTCACTTCGTATGGCCATTGCAAGTTTAAAGTTAGTTGTTTGGTTTCATAATTATTATTTCTTTTTTTTCTCATTTTTTTTTTAATCATTATCATAACAATAATTTTGTTCTCATATAAGATTAACAATAATAGAATAAGAAAGAGAAGGTGAAGAAGCAATTGCAACATTTCGTTTGAAGTTCTTGTTTCGATTTCCGAGACAAAAATTAGCGCAGTGTATAAATTGTCTCCTCTTGTTCTTTATATGTTATATGTATAGATATTCCACATTCGCATAGTCTAACATAGTTTATATATAAAAAAAAGTTGATTTAAAAAAAGCTAACTTTTGCTGTTGGTTTTTGTGTATTGTTTTAAACGACTGGTGGTTCGGTGCCGCCACGAGCCTCATCGCCCCTATAAAATGAAAACAAATAATAAGAAATAAAAAACCAAAATTAATGAATTATTAAAATATATAGAATATAATGTATAAACAGTTTTTAATGCAACTTGAATAATAATATTAAAAAAAATAATATTTTATATATATTACAAATAAAGTGTAACTGAAATAAAATCCAAATTATCTTTATAGTTGTGACTAGGATAACAGAATGCGTTTTGAATAGTTACAAAAGTTAAAAGCCAGTTTAATATAGGTTAGCTAACAAGTTGATAATGGCCTGACAATGGCTCTGAAATATTGGCCTTTTCGTATGAATCCATTAAATGCTGTGACTACCAATAAGCTGAGCTTTAAGCGGCCACCAAACAAAAAAGCTTTCCATTTAAAATGTGCCTTCAAAGCACTGACGCTCTTGCAACTTTGAAAGCTCTTCGTCATTCTCTAAATTCTCAAAATGGTTCGCCGAATTAAGAGCTAGTTTCGGTTAATGCCATTTGAACTTAAGTTTTTATAGATATTTATCGTCATAACCATAAATGGTCAAAGCTAAACAAGAGCTAAGGGATAACTGACTGAGTTGGAAGCTTTATCGCTTTGCATTCTTTGTCCTATATTAAAGTGTTTGCCTATCGGTATGCAATTTCAGACTTTGTCTCAACGCCTGCGCCAGCATTCAGTATATATATAGATATGTATGTATATATATATATATTAAGTATATAGAGACATACAAGTTGCTATATTCAGTATTCAGTAGGTTTATCATAGAATATAGTTGTATGTATTTATAGGTATATATATGTATATAGCAATTACTTCTTTTTAGTTATTAGTCAGGCATGTGCCAAAAGATTTCGGAATCTGGGCACAACTGGAGGTTCTGCCCAGTACTGATTCAAATATTCAGTTTCTTAATTGCTATTAAATATTAAACGTTGTTTTTAACAATATTTTCGTGCTAACTACATATTTTGGCAAAAAAAAACAAAAAAAAAATTACACATTGACTATATAGGTCTGTAAATATTTATGTATGTATGTATATGGTGAAATCCTTTAGGATCCCTTAGTACACAGGTATATCCAATATTTATCTATGCTTTAGCTATAGTTTCTTTCTTATATACTTTGTATATATGCATGTATATTTATATAACATGATATTTTGCAATGATATGGCACGATCAATTTTTTGCTGTACTTAATTTCGTCAACAGATGGCGCCAGAGCCGAGCGCTTAGCTGGGCGCAAGCAGCAGCCAGATGAGGGTGCCTGTCAGTAGGGCTAGTGGCGCCACTGGCACGCCCATAGGCCGCACACTGGCATCGTAGGCGTTGCCATGACTATGCTGTAACTGTTTAAAGTTGGGTCGCGGATAGATAATGTGCACCGGCGGCGGCTGATCGATGGCATCGAAAAAGTTTGGATCATAACGCTTGTCGCTGGTATCGTAGTCGTGGTAGATGAGACTGGATGGATTCCAGTAGTCGCTAATCTCCGCCAGAGCCGCATTTAATGTGCAAAATTAACAGATTAAGAACAGCAGCAGCAGTGACACGATAAATCCGTGAAGCCCGAAACATATTTAAGAACGCCAACAAACTTTCCAAATAAAGAAATCACGTTTTCTCAATGTCCAAAGCAATAAGGCAATGCTGATATTTCGTCACATTAATAATGTGTCTCTCTCTCTCTCTCTCTCTGTTCCCATTCATCGGGGAAATCAGTAAATCAAAGTTCTTCTCTCTCTCATATTTGGAGAGGTAACATAAGTAAGGACATTGAGAGAACGGGAAAAGCATAAGACTAACAAAATAATAATAGGAGTATGGGCGAACCACAGCCCGGGTTGAAGAGATGTTAAATGCTTAAGCCAAACAAAACACTTGTAGCTACTCACACGGGGCAGGTGTCCACGTTGACGCCATTGATGGCTGCCTTGCCCACATTGATCTGTCCGGTGTTGCCCTCGACGATGAACATGCAACCATTGAAGTTGTGCCCATACCGTTGACCCGTGAAACTCATGATGTGCGGTATGCCGCCTTGAAATCGAAATCGAAGTCAAAATCAAAATCAATATCAAAATCGAATTTGGGATGTTTTTGAGACATACCAATGAGTACGTTGCCTGGCAGATGCATCTCCTTCTTGCTGGTGGGCCGCGTCTCGACAGACTCGGAGATGCGATCGACCTCCAGTATTGCAGTGTTGTCTGCACGCTTCACAAGCACAAGGTGACGGTGTCCATCATTCACTTGCTTCTCCGAGTTGCGTATCATCGCCTCCTGGCCATCGAGACGCAGTGATAGCTCCACATATCCCTCGACAACGGCAAGGGCTATAAAGTCCTGACCGGTGAACTCCTCGCCCATTTGCTGGCCCCACCACATTAGCAGGCCATCCGGTTTGCTCGTGGAGAAGAGAATCGCTGCTGTCGTATACTGTTGATCCACCTCGCTGTTGAACTGATTGCGATCCAGCTCCATATATCCATTACCGCGGAACGAGGCATTGAAACTCACTTGGATATCTAACAAACCAACAAGCAAGCAGGCAATTGAACATTATGGAATATTAAGATAACATCGAGACACTTACGATCCTCACAACGCTTGCCACTGAAGCCCAAACTGCAGTCACAGATCGCCTGCTGATCCACTTCGGTGCATGTGCCGCCATTATCGCATGGTTCACTGGCACAGGGCGACAATGCATAGGGTTGCGGCTCATCATCGTCAGCGATGACTGGTGCAATGGGCAGTTCACCATCGGCATCGACATCAGCATCAGCATCGCCGATCTCATTGAGTTCGCCACAGTTCTGCACATTGGCCGCATCCTTAATGTCAGCCAGCAGTTGAATGGAACGTGTCGAGTCGAACAGACGTGAGATGCAGCCATCGAAGCCATCTGTGATGTTCACATCCCGATTGATCTTGACCGTCGCCCAATCGTAGCCACCCACATAGAGTGGCGTCTTTAGCGACAGCATTCGTGGTGCACCCGCCGCCTTGGCACGCAGCTCGCTCTCATCCCCGACACGAAGTATACTTTCGCCCTGGCGACGCTGCAGCTCGACCCGTGTCCAGCGGTGTAGTGGCAATGGTTGCTGGGAGCGCACCACAACCGGCTTGAGGCGTGCCGCCGTATTGATGATCAGCTCGACGTGGCCATCGTGCAGCAGAAGGGCAACGTAATCACCGCTTGGCAGATTCGATTCCGCCGTATATAGCAGCACAGCATCCCGCAAACTGGACGGTCGCAGCGATAGTGTCACATTCAGGCGGCCGGCACGTGGTGTACTGGAAAATAATCAAGGATTAGAGGAGCACAGAACGCAGTTTTTGATAATAGTCTTCTCAATTTAAGAGCTAATGTGCTTAGATACCCTTTCAATGCTTGGGCAACTAACTCAAGACGGTAAGATCACTAAGTTTTCTACCATTTAACAAGCTCTATCGGAGATTTGCAGTTCCATTTCAACTTTGCTTGGGTTAGATATAGTCAAGACTTGGCCCGTTGTGCTGCTGGGTGGAATCTCACTCAATTTCTTTTGCAAATTCACTAACTGTGATAGATTAGTTGAAAAGAGGCTTTCTGGCCAGGAAGCCATTTGTCATTTGACATGCGTCTGTTTTCTTCTTCGATTTTGAGCTTACAGGTAGCAAGGATCATACATATTCCTGGGTGCCTGGGAAAAATAGCGCCTTTCCTAACAAATTTTTCCGCCTGAAAATGTCCTTGCACAACTCCGACGATCAAAAGAGTTTCGAGCTTAACATTATGCTACCAACGAATTGAATTGGGGCTGTTTTTGCAATCGATCTAACCCAATTGAATTATAGGAAATCCTACTAGGCTAGGGTAAGGTAAGGTCAGATCTGGACAGGAGCCAGCACTTACTTGTAGGCCGCATAGCTGTTGCGCTTGAAGTTGAGACTGTGCTCGTTGAGATGCTCGATGTACTGGCAGCGATCGCCGGTGCGATTGAGGGGGCAGAGGCATTCCATGTCCGTTTCGGTGTTCTCGCAACGTCCGGCGCCACAGAGACCAGGTGTGCATTGGGTGCCTTCGACGGCACAATTGCGTCCCGTCCAGCCCTGCTGGCAGATGCAGGTGTAGGCCTGTTCTGTTTGACTCTCTAGACAGATGCCGTTATTCTCGCAGGGCATTTGGGCGCAAGGCTTGCAACTGGTGATGCCCTCCTTCATTTTGGCCTCCTTCATCAGCTCAATTGTGCGGCCCTGCAACGTCAGCCGACTAATGCAGCCAACGAAACCAGCATCCTCTGTCACCGCCTCGGCGGGCAACTGATCCCAGTTGGGCACACCGCCAATATACAAATCAGCGATCAGCTCCAGCTGTGGTGTTTGGCTGAGAGTGGGGAAGGCGACGGGTCGCTGTTCGTCCAGCTGAATGTAGCCATCGCGACGGGAGCGCTGCACACGGATCGTATGCCACTCATTCAGTTTGACGGGCTGCTCGGCACGGACCACCAGCGGCTTGCCGCCGAAGTCAAAACGGAACTCCGCATAGCGATCTTTTAGTGAGAGGGCAATGTAGTCGCCAGTGCCACGTGGCTGGCCGTTGAAGAGCAGCAGACCATTTGGCGATTCCGGCCGGAATGTGACCTCAAAATTGAACTTGAACGAGGATTCCGGCAACTTGGGGAAACTCATGTAACTGGACTTTGGATGGTTCAGCTGATGGAAATGTGGTATTGCCCCAGTAATGACCAATATGCTCGGATAATCAACGGATTCCCCATCGTTGTAGGTGGCTGTGCACACATAGCTGCCGGCATCGTTTGCTTGCACATCCTGCAGCACCAGCTGCTCCTGTGTTTGTGGAGTGACCAATTAGAGTCATGAGAGAGAGAGAGAAAGATGTGCAACACTTACATCATGTATATCGCGACCCGATTGCAGCTGGCCATATTGACGGGACCAGCGATAGCTGGGCTGGCGGCTCTCATCAGCACCGCAGCTGAGTTGCGTTTGGTCGCCCGCCTGGGCATGAACGATCTTTGGCTGACGCAGATCTTCCGGGTGCGGCTCCGGTTCAGGTTCCGATTCCGATTGCGTCTCCGACTCTGGCTGCTCCTCGATGCCCAGCTCGTAGCTGGTCGTATACAAATCACCATCATCAGTTCGGCACTTGCAGACATAGACGCCAGCATCGGCGGCGGTCACCTTATTAATCACCAGGCTGTTGCCCACTTGCTATAAATCAAATAAACAGTGTGTGTATGTGAGAGACAGAGAGAGAGAGAGAGAGAGAGAGAGAGAGAGAAAGAGAGAGAGATTGGGAGAGACCGTAGTATTTGCCTCTTGCCACATTTTTAATATTATCATGAAAGGTCGCATTTCGAAACTGAAGTGCAGCTTGAATATAGTGCTGAAATCCTTTGAGTTGATTTTTAATTGGAAATATTTAATTTTTTTGTGTAGTATTTTTAGCATCAATTTCGATTACAGATTTCATTGTAGTTTTGTCAGCCGATTGTTTTGACCCTACCCTCTATGACCCCAGAATTTATCCATCAACCGATACTTCTAATTGTATCTAGGTAGGAACATTATTGCCATAATTTGGGCGTGAAAGTTACTTCAAATTTCATAATCAGTCTCTGAATTTTGGTAGATGGGGAATTTATTTTTCGAAAAACAATCGCGCTGCATTTCCACTTTCTAGTTGCTTGTAGGAAATATATTCTTCACATGGCGTAATCCCAGTTGGGAGAGATGGGGGCACTAACCTGAATATTGGCTGAGAGTGGGGCACCATCGAAACGCTCCCAAATCACATCCGTATAGCTGTTGTCCGAGGAGTAGCATTCAACTTGGGTGGACTCGCCTGTGCGCAATTTCGATGATTGCTGATCCAGTTTGAGGCTGTAGTCGCGGGGCATCATTGGCTCTGGTGGCGGTGTACGTAGAACCGGCGGCAGATATCCGCCCGCTGCAGCATCCGCAGAGGACGGGACAGAGGAGCATCGTAAAGATCACCACCACCACAAAACACGGGACAGCACAGTAAAGCAACAATAAGAGTGACGACGACGACGACGACGACGACGACGATGACGACGAGGAGGATTTGAAGATGTTTGTGTTTCGGCGGTTGCAACGTTCACAATTGGCGACAATTCACAATTGAGTTATGTGATGAACAAGTGCACGTATATGTGTGTGTGTGTAGTTGTGTGTGTGTGTGTTTTGTGTGTGTGTGTGTGGCATTGAGATGAGGAGTAAGATAGTAAAAAAATACACAGAAAGAAAAAAGCAGTTAGCAAAATACATGTCAAGAATGTCGATTAATACAGATAGTTTATGCGATGATTATCGAACGCTTAAGCGATAGATCAATTATCAAAAAATCTACCGTTTTGTGTATGTGTGTATACACTGTGTGCGTGTGTTTGTGTGTGTGTGTGTGTGTGCGTTCGATACTCATCCCATGTTTTAGTAATTTTTATTATCTTTTTTTTTTTTTTTTGGTTTTTATGTTTGGAATTTTGTTTCCTAGTTAGACAAATAAATACATAGAATTTGACGTAGGGTAGAGGGGAGAGTAGATCGGTGATTTTGATACTAAATTAACAAAAATCGACAACAAAAAAATAAATGAACAAGATAAAGAAGTACAATGGAACACAGCTACATCAAATAATACTAATTATTTCTACTGTTTCGAATCACACAGAATACGAGTACATATGTATGTATGTGTGTGTGTGTGTGTGTGTGTGTGTGTGTGTGTGTGTGTGTGTGTGTGTGTGTGTGTGTGTGATGAAAGAAGGTTACGAATGCGATTTGTTCACAATGTTTCTGTTTTTGGCAGGTTATTCAATTATTTATCGATGTTTAATATATGTATTTATTTTTTTAGATTGTATTTTTAATGTTGATATTTTCTGCCTACTGAATGAAGGAAATGACAGAAATGGATTACCACTAGACCAGTACGATTTCATTAACATATACTTAGCTACAAACATGTATACAAATATTTATATTGGCTACTCAGACGATACAAAGTCTACATTTATCGATAAGATTTTGATGGCAATTTGATTTCGATCGAAAGATCTTTGTGTTATTTTTTAGGTTACATAACGGTTTTTGTTTTGAATTTCAATATTGTCGTTCACTAGTTAAGTGTGTGTGTGTGTGTGTGTTTGAGTGTGTGTGTTTGTGTGGTGCATTATTTACAAAATTTTGTTTGGTATTCATCAACATTGATTTCTTATACAATTTTCATGGGTTAGTACAAGTTGGTTCACCCACATGCGATAATACAAATACAAATACAAATCTAGAAACCATTTTTTTTTTTTTTTGTGTAAGAGTCGCGATCGGCATCAAAGTTTTTGGTGAGGTTGATGCTGTAAACGGGTGTTACCAGAGACACATGCGCGTACGGCCATTGCAGGTACGGTTTGTGTTATCGTTATTGGTATCGATAACATTCATTTTACGACTTACATACTAAGAACCCGCGCACAGTCAGAAAAGCAGCTAACGGTTATACCCAAACACACACTACGGCGCTTTTGCTACTGTTGCTGTTGCAGTGGTTGTTGTTGTTGTGGTTGTAGTTGTTGTTGTGGCAATTGCTTCATCTGTATTCGTGTTGTTGTTGTCGTTGTTTGTTTTTTTTTTTATTTTTGATTTTTTTCTATACTGTATATATATCTAGATAATTCTTAGTTTTAACGTGAATTGAGTGCATGTTGTTGCAATTGTTGCAGGTTTTGTCGTTTTGCATTTAAAAGTTGTGCGCGAAGTTAGAGGGGCCAAAACAGGCGGATAGATAGATAGCCAGATAGAGATAGCGATAAAAATAAAGCATAGATATAAAGATAGACAGACAGAGAGAGAGAGAGAGAGAGAGAGAGAGAGAAAGAATGAGAGGGAGAGAGAGAGGGAGATACAAATATAGTATGCTTCTGTCAAATTCAGCAGGCAGTTCCTCTTCCTGTCAATTATCTGACAACAGTAATAAGTCACAGTGTTACCAGATAGTAAGCAGTCTTACATATGGCAACGCCATACATGTGTTTAATTTCCTCGCTCATGAGAAAATGTATCTGTAGCATGAAGGAATGGTATTGTGTAGGATGAGCACAGTGAAAGAATGTGTGGGAGAGCAAGAGGGAAAGAGAAAGACAGATAGAGACAGAGAGACAGAGAGAGAGAGAGAGAGAGAGAGAGACAGAGAGAGAGAGAGACAGAGAGCGTATAGAGGCAAGGCTAAGGTAGAAGAGTAAGAGAGTTAGAAGAAAAATGAAAAACGGTAAGACCAACCGAAACGTTTTGCCAACGGCACAACTTGACGCTTTGTCATCCCTGCACGATGTTGGTGTTGTTGTTGTTGTTGATCCTGTCGCTGTTCTGGTCTCCTATGCTGCTGCTGATGACGTTTCTGCTTGCGTGCGTGACTCTTCTTCCAGCGCTTAAAGTTGCCCAATCCTGTTCCGGTTCCCGTTCCCGTTGCGGTTCCAATTCCGATCCCGATCCCAGTTGGACCACTGCTGGCCGCTTTGCTGGCAAAGTCGCGCGTGCAATTGAACTCGTCCGAGTGATCCGTGCAATCGTAAATGCCATCGCACACCATGCTCGACTTGACGCACGTGTGCGGATGCGAAACGCATTTGAAATCGTTGGCCTGGCATGCGTACGAGATGACCGAGGGACGTGGGGGCGCCGCCAGTGGCTTGGCTGGCGTTATTTTGCTCACTTTTAAATCTATTTGCTCGCAGGGCAGTAGCAATTAATTTTTCATATATGTATATATATTGTTGTTGTTGTTCATATTTTTGGTATGTTCAAAATATTTTTGTTGTTTTTGTTTGTCGTATAGAGAGCATAAAATATAAGATTAGCATTGTGACTCCTTACACAACTTCAGCCACGATTAGTAAGTCCTGTATTCATTTCCTCTACCAGATTACGCATACGCACCGGTTTCCAATGTTTAAGCTACACTTATATATATTGCAAGATAATACTGAATAACTATTCAGATCGTAACTTGTGCGCTGATTGTAACAACAGTGTTTAGTATAATTTCGGGGGTGTGTACTCGGGCAAAAGTGTGACCAGATGCAGATGCACACTAACCAAATGCTAACTAAATATCAACTATATTTTGTGGCAGGCTGAATGTGCATTGTTGGAATGTGTGTGGTTTTTATTTATTTGTTTTTTTTTTTTTTTTTTTGGTTTAGTGGGCGAACAACATGTTTTTTTTTGTCTTGTTAGTTGAGTATTTAGAATTTAGTATTTAAATGCAGAAACAATTTTATAGTAATCAGTAATATATAACAAATTTCATTAGACATAATTAAGAAAATTAAAAAATTATACATAATGACATACTAAATTATATTCAAGTCAAATAATCAAAAATTAAAAAAAAAGCACTACTACAAAATTATAAAAAAATAATAAGGATTAAGTTGTCCTGGAAAATGAATTTCAAATGTGATTATTACGCGGTAGCTTTCACACACCTTTACATATATAGAAAACCATGCAGGGGAAATCTTGGCTTCCCTTATACGACTTCAAATTGTACTTATTAGCTATGGTGATTTGAAGTTGATTTTTTGTATTTTTTTTTGTTTGTTTTTATATTGTTGGTTGTTGATGCAGTTGTTGCGGTTGTTGTAGATGCGGTTGTTGTTGTGGCAGTTGAGTTGATGTTTTTGCAGCATTGCATATATATATATATCGTATATATAGTATAAATATATATACATATATATTTTATGTATATATATATGCATATTTATTTATGTGGTATATAGTAGAGTATGTATGCATATATGGTGTATGTATACATGATCATAGATAATTGAGTTTGTGTATTTTGTGTGGATTTTTTGTTTGTTTTTTGTTTTGTTCGTATCAAATGCAAAGCGCCCAAAACATTTCAAGTTTTATAAGTTATATTATATATATGTGTGTGTATGTGTTTTTTTTTTGTTTCAATATTTAATGTATTTCATTTTGCATTATTTATTTTGCACAAGCGCACATGTAAGAGAGAGAGGGAGAGAGAAGAGAAAAAAGCAGTAAAGAAAGAGAGAAATAAAAAATTATATGTTTATCAAATTATTCATTTGAAAATAGGTTTGCCCTAATATAAAAAAAAAAAAAACAAAAGATTCAATTCATTTTGTTTTTTGTTTCTTCTAAGAACTTTAGATATTGGCAGAGCAGAGCTAACAGTAATTTCGAGTTTTGAAGATTGAAATGAAAGTATTTTCAATTTTGATTCGTCTTGCCAATTGGTTTACTGTAAATGTTGATTGAAAAGTTATTCAAAAGTTGCTTGTCTCGATTAATATAAAAATTCTTTTAGATTGTACGAGGACTCCATTGCTTTAAATTGCTGATTTTAACTTATTCAACGCAAAAGTACAATATACGAATATCTAAGACAATTTACGGTGACATTTTTAACTAGAGATTATTTACATTGTTTTTCATAGTAATTGGTCACAAATACATAAGATTTGTATTTATTTATTTTTTTTTTATTTTTTTATCAATTTTTGGGTATTGTTTGAGTGCAGGTGCAACTTGGGTGCTTTGGGTAGGGGGAGGAGAAGGAATAGAGAGCAATGGTAAGAGGGAAGTGTGTGCAGTGCAAATTTTTATTTGTTGATTTATCGTTTTTATGCGTATTAAAACAAAACACAGTTGATCTATATGTACAGCGCCGATGATCACGAACACAGATATAGATAGAAAAAAAGTAATCCAATAACCATTCCAAAATGAACACAGAAAACCACCTGAACGAGAAACGACATCAAGTAAATGTAACCGACACCAACAAAATTAAAGGTCCAAAGCCAATAAAAAAAATAAGAAACCATAAAATAATAATCAAAAACCATACAGGATAACAGGTATCTTCGGCATGCCGAAAATTAAATACCCTTGCATGAACTTTAAACCCGGTAAACCCTTCTATTTGTGTAGGAATTCTAGGATTCTAGAATGGTTGACGAACAGATCACTTCTATGGTAACCTATCTTTAGGCAACAAAAAAAAAAAAAGAAAAAGAAAGTAAAGCAAAGACTATTGGAAGACTCAATTTTCTAAATCACAAAAATCCAAATTACTTAAAAAAAACCCAAAAACTAAGGTAATTTTTCCAAAGATATATATGACTTAAAAAGTCGCCAATTAAGTCAAATTCGGACTACTAAAATGATCTGCCAGGGTAAATGAACTAAAAAAAAGTCAACATTAATCAATGTTAATAAAAACGAAATAAAAAGAATATGTTAGAGTTGTTGTGCTTTACACAAAATTTGCATTGCTTGTGTAAAATGTTTGTTAATATTTTGTTGTTTTATTTGTCAAAAAAAACCACTGCTGGCACTTAAAACGTATTGTATTAAATATGTTTCCATCATTACTTTTGCTGGTACTCTTGCTTAAATATTAGAGTTACAATGGTTAGTGGCTTATTGTCATATATACAGAGTGTGTAATACCCTAAAACCATCAGATACATTTCCGTTAAGACGATATTGCTTATTTTTGGCAGTTGTGTGTATTTTTGTGGGTTTTGTGAATTGTTTGTGTGTGTGTGTGTGTGTGTGTATGATTACATTTGTAGATAGTAAGATACTTGGTTATCAGCTCGCATATTTACAAAGCTCTTTATTCTGTTCTTGTTTCTGAATTAATTTCACAGAGTATGTGTATGTATATAAAAGGTGTGTACTTCAACTGTTTGTAAGTAAGTGGCGAGTACGAGGCTTGGTGTGTGTGTATGTGTGTGTGTGTGTGTTTAGTTAATAGTAAGTAAGTAATAGAGATATACATATACATATGGACATACATATACATATGGATATTGGATATTGATAGATTGTGTATAGATATAGAACAAAGTAAAATCAGCGAGCGAGCGTTTCAATCTTTCAATCTGCTCTTCGGTTTTTTTTTCTGATTGTTTCTTTTTTATTTTCTTTCATTATATTGCCAACAAAGCCTAATCCTTTTTGGGTTTTCATTTCCTTACTTATTTTTCGTCATATTTCTGTTAATAATTATTATTTCGTTGTTTTTTTTTTCGTTTTTTTTTGTTTTTTTTTTTTGTGTATCATTTTGCATATGAAATTCTCTGACCAAAGAATCGTATAAAGTAGTAGCTTAGGATCATGTTGTGTTTTTGTGTTTGTTTTTTTTTTTTTTTGTTGTGTGAGAGAGATAAGAGAGATATTTGTGTTGCATTTGTCGGACCTGACATCTGACATAACCAAAGGGCTTGTGTGTGTGTGTGTGTGAGTTTGTGTGTTTGTGTATTGGAGAGTGGGGTATTGGTGGTGTTGAGTGGATTTGGGGTAGGGCTCTACTCACGCTGTACACGCAAATCGATGGAGGTGGGAGTCAAACGCTGTCCCAGGTTCCTGTCATACGAATCGCAAATATAAACACCGGCATCGTCCATGCGCAACGATGTCAGGATCAGCTCCTGGCTATCGGGACGCGCACCGTTCGGCAGCGGGCGTCTATCCTCGCGGTACCAGTGGAACTGCAATAAGGCAAGCATTTGTTATAGATACACCAGGCATTGACATCATTAAAACCAGACTTGAAGTCGGAATCGGTATCGGAACCGTTTACCGATTGAAATTGAAAATTGCGACAGGAATCGAAACACAAATTCATGGTTTTGTAATAGCCCAATATCAAAACCGATATTATTTGTCCCACAAAGACCGTATCACTGCCACCATGTATGTGAATGTGTCTCTGTTCCAGCTGGTATACAGACGGACAGACAGACGGATATCCTGATAAACACCTTACCGTAATTATCAACGTAGCAAAATTTAACCGATTACCGTGAAAATATTTTGAATAATACCGGAATCTTATCGTAATTTTTTATAGTTTATAGTTTTCAAAATAGGAATCGGAAACTATATTCGTTTCGGATTGACACGCCGAGTGATGTTGATATACTCGTTTACTCACCTGCACATTGCCGCGATGCTCGCCACGCTGCGTGGAGACAGTGCAGCGCAACTGGATGCTGTCACCCTCGCGATGCTCCTGCACATCCGATTGCGTCGGCGGAGTGTAGAAGGTTGGCCGCCTGACCACCACCTGAGCGGTCTTGCTATGGTTGCCGTAGTCATTCGTGGCCGTACAACTGTAGCCGCCGGCATCCGCAGGTGCTATGGCCACAAAGCTTAGCAAAGTTCCGTTAATGTGCACAGAGCTGTACACAAAATCAAAGAAATGGCCAAGAAATTGCATGTTAAAGTCCATCAAGATAATGCGATAAACATCAAAACTTAACAACTATATTTTTATCTATTATGATCTAAATTGAAAAAATTATGAATTGTTTTTACTATTGGTGTAACCTAAAAATGTTTGCATACATTTGTATTTCGACTGCAAATTAAAATGTTGCTGCTACTAATTATATTATAATTTTGACTCGAAGTGAGAGTACTTCAAAAATTTGCTTTCAAATATCTTGACTGAATGATGTAAAATTGTAAATAAATAAATTATTAGCTAACTTATTATATTATAATTAGAAATTGAAGTGCCTTACACATTTAAGAAGTTAATATATATTCTTGGTAGATAGTTTTTATTCTTTCTGTTACTTATATATTTAGAGTCTACTTTTAACTAAAATTTGTATACATAAAGTCGAGTTTCGTATATAAATTCGAAAACCATAAATCAAGAATATAATGTCTTCTTCAGATACATATTATGGCAGTCAAAACTAAATTATCTTTCTTTCTAATACACGTCTGCTAGCTAGACTCATTTCTTCTTCTATCGATCGACATCGATATCAATATTTAAATATATATATCTATATATATATATATATATATAGATATATATATATATATATATATATATAACGAATAGCAGCCATTTGTCGTAAATTGATCGGGTGTATTTGGGCATTTTGCTTCGTAGTGTGAATGTATTTGATTTAGTAGTAGTTGAAACTCACCTGGGCAGTGGTCGGCCATTGTCGGTGGCCCAGTGGACATTGTGTGGCTCGGCATTGATCACTCTGCATTGGATGTCGACATTGGTATCGGCCTCCACCACCAGCGGTATGTTAGGGGAGAATGTGATCTGTGGCAGTGGCAGCAGCACCAGTTCGCGCACCACATACGTCACAAGGGAGCCGTGATTATCGACCGCATTGCAGCGATACTGGCCCAGATTCTGCTCCTCGACAAGCGTGATGGTCAGTATATTGCGATCCGTGTGAGCATTTGATAGGAGCGGTTGTCCATCAACTCGAGCCCAGCGGGTGCTCAAATACGGTGCCAGGTCACAAGTGAGTGTCACATTCTCGCCCAGATTGGTGGTGAACTTTTGAGTGTTCTCATTGGGATTGTAATACGGACGCTGTGTAGGTAGCTCTGGGTAGTGGGAAGGGTAAGGATCATGCACCACATCGCCATAAGCTATAGATAGAAGATCATAACCACAAGTATGTACAAATGAATATAAATAATCACATATTTTTGGTTTAAAGCAAGTAGTGTATGGTCTAGGCAAGGGAGATATCCGTTGATAAGCCACCTATCATAAATCGTACACGTCTTGAACAGAGTTTGTTGAAATTTATGAAGTTGATCACAATTTTGCCAAGGCATATGCCTAACGGGAGGCCATCAGACGTATTGGCGGAGAGATGGACATAATAAGATCGACTGGTCAAGATGTTAATCAAGCGTATCTTGCTATCCTTTTTCGATCCATTTTAAGTGGCGTACAATGAATTCTTGAACTGGACTGTATTTTACACTCACCGTCACCGATATCGCCGCGCTTGGGTTGGACTTCGATGCGAATGCTGGCCTGGTCGCTGCCCGCTTCATTTGTGGCTGAACAGGTGTATATTCTGGCATCGTTGTGCGTGACACGATTGATGTCCAGATAGGCGATATTCTGGCCCCGACTTGATAGACTGATCGGCTGATTGGTGTCCCACTGGACGGCGGGATTGGGTACGCCGCTGGCGATACAGCTGATGTGCACCTCATCGCCCTCGGTGTAACTCATCACTTGCGTGTTCGGATTGAGAGTAACGACTGGTGGCTCAACAACACGGATCGTTGCGATGCCGGTAGAGCGACCAACGGAATTCTCGGCAACGCACTCGTAATCACCAGCATCATTAATTTCAATGTCGTGAATGCTATCGATAGAAGGGACAGATAGGTATTAGGAGAATGATTTGGATGGGTACATGGATGCATTTACTCACATTACATAGCCGGCATTCTCTTCGTTTATCATGTGTCGGGGTGTGAGTGGTTTGCCATCGATGCGGCGCCACTGCACCGTCGGTACGGGTATGCCTTGGGCAACACAGTAAAGGTATCCCTGTTGCTTGACTGTGAATGTCATTGGGACCGCTGGTGTTATATCAACGCTCGGAGCCTCCCGAGCTGCAAGCAAGTAAATTATGGTGGTTGTACAGATTAGTATTAGGATCAGACAGTGCGGACCTGTCTTATTACCGACTCCGTTCTTGTGCACTTGCATTGCATAACCATAAATTCGAAATATCAAATGCGATTATTCAAAATTTATGCATTTATCAAAAAATATTTATTATATAGTTAATGGAATTAAGAATTCAGCAAAATTCATCAATTTACGTTACCAATATATGTTTTTTTGTTTTTGTTTTTAGCATTGTGTGGAAAGCAACAGGAAGAAATAGAGCAAAGAGAAATGTTATGCACCTAAAATTCTTTCCATTTTCCGTATTCGTTCATCATCTCGTGTTCACTATGGATTCTACAGCTTTGTATAACTCAAATGGATCGTTTCAAAAGCTTGGATATCTATTAAAATAGTATGCTTAAGAATGATGCCAAACAGCACAAACTATACGTTTATATGTGCAGAAAAGTGGAGCTTAAAAGCTCTTACAAAGAAAAAGCTCAAGATCGAATAAAACCGTTTATACGCTAACCGTGAAGACTTAGTTTGAAAGCTCAGCTAGTTTTCTATATATTTATTTAATTCTAAAAGCTCTTGAATATGCTTTGAATATGCTGAAATCTATAGAAAAACGAGATGATGGTGAACACCGATGTTGAATATATCTGGATGTTATATACATATATCAAATAGTAAATTGTACCATATACATATAAATATATATATATATATATATATATTAAGCAAAGATCAGTAAACTTACGTTCAACGTCGATAAGAACGCTGGAATGATCTGATCCGTATGGATTTTCGGCCGTACACGAGTAATAGCCGCGATTTTCTGGACGAGCATTGATGATGCGCATAACATTGCCGGTAATATGGACATTGGATGGCATCGATTCACCGTCCTTCATCCATTGGATGCTGGGATAGGGTGAGCCGCTGGATTCGCATGTAATGCTATAGTCAGTGCCCTGATCGATGGAGGCCTTCTCGGTGAGTCGCATTATATGTGGCTTAATGCTGAAAAATGGATTGCAAAACGTTTGGGATTGTTAAGAAACGATTGTTGGCTTTGCCAGCGATAATGGTTCGCCTACCCGGTGACAGGTGGCGGCAACTGGTGCTGCTCAATGTAGACGCGTGCCTCCTCCGTGTAATTGCGACGTGTGCGCAGATCAATGCCGATGCACGTGTAAACACCAGAGTCACTGGCGCTGGCATCGCGAATCTCGAGCATATCGCCAGCGATGATTACGTTGCGCTGCTGCTGCGAACTCAATGGACGGCCATTGTGCAGCCACTCGTAGCGCAGCTGGGCACCGCTGGTGGAGTGACAATTGAAGGTTACCGTATCCCCAGCCTTGCCATTATAATCCTCCGGCTGAATAAAGACGCGCTCTCGCACTGGTGCCGGCTGCGGTGCATTACCCCTCACATAGACGTCCACGTATTTCTCGTCCGCTCCGTACTGGTTCTGCACCTGGCAGCGGTAGCGTCCCTCATCCGATTTGCGTGGCAATTCGAATATCAAGCGATTGCCATCCGTTCTAGTCCGTCCATCTCCCTGTGCATCGACATGCGTCCATGTGATTGTTGGCGTTGGATTGCCCTCCACCTCGCAGGTAATCTCGCTCGGCTGATACTCATCAAAGGTCACCGTGCTGGGCAGATTGACGATCTGAGCTGGCGAGCGTTGCGATTGATCTAGAGAGAGAGAGAGAGAGAGAGAGAGCGAGAGAGGGAGAGACACGAAGGCGTTAGAAAACCGTATAAATAGTTAAACACTGACACTGTAAATAATCATTTACAAAAAAAAAAAAACAAAACAATTTTCACATAGTTATCTGAAAATGTTTTTTTTCCTTTTTGTATTTTTTATTTTTAATAAATACACGGTAAGCGATGGCAAAAACAAAATCATCGGCCATATTTGTATGCAAATGAATCTTGGACTGTATTAACACTTTTAAATATGTATAATTCTAATTAAAAAAATTTCGCATGGGTTACTCTTAAAGTTCTGTCAGAAAACCTCCAACATTAACTTACAATATCATGAAACTTTCTGTTTTTGTTAGTGAAAACTCCTTAAAGAATCGATAAATGGAAATTCTACTTCTATTCGATTATTATTATTATTCAATTAACTTCCTGGTCGCAAGTAATACAAATTTGAAAATCCAAATAAATATTGCAGTGCAAAATTAAAATTGAAACAACTATAAAGTGTTGTAGAGGAAAATAGGTATTCAATAGCTACCATAGCGAGCCAACATTTCTTCAGAATATCCTTGAGGCGAATGCCGCATTTGAATTTGTTTAGAAAGATTAGTTTAAGTTTTTTGCTTTTGCATAGCTGGAATACGTGCACTTACTTGATATGGTGATGGAGACCTCATCCTTGAAGACGCGCAGAGTCTGGTTGTTCATTGCTTGACAGATATAGACGCCAGAGTCGTAGATTTGCAGATTATACAAATTAAGGACACCGCCCTCGATTTCCGCAGTATTGGGTAGTCGGCTGCCCATCTTGGACCAGCTGACATAGACCGGATCCTACAGAGCAAAATAAATATATGCTGATCAACTGTATCCAATCTTAAATGTGCAAAGACCTACATTGTTCCACATCATGCGACCGCTGCAGCGCAGGGACATAGATCCGCCCACTGGCAATATGGTGATTTGTGGCTTCGATATCGACACGACGATCTGGGTGCGTATATTATCGGGTTGATCGATGGATGGATCCGGCATGCCATTGTCTGATTGATGTAGAATTTTATATATATATATGGATTAGACTCCAGACCAATACGCACTTAACGGTTAGCAAATTCAACTCAATTACAATTGTATTAGTGACACGGTTGCGGCTTATTAACGTGATTGGTGGGGGGGGGGGATTGGGATTGTGGATTGGGCTAGAGTTGGGTTTTGGGATATGGGGTTCTTCCAAGTACGAATAGTTTTAGCCACCAACTACTACATACAGGTAATAGCAGAGAGTTGCCAGCTATGGCTGTGAGTGCTTTTGTCACAGCATTAGGCCAGCTCAAAGGACTACAATAGATTCGACACACAAATGTAGATACTATACTATATAGTATGAGATATTATTGAGTTGTCCAGCAAGTGAGAGCGGGTTCTCAACTCAACAAGTGCATGGTACGTAAAAAAGGGCAGGGAAGAGGCAAGGGTGGGTCCGCTAAAATCGGGTTTTTGGGGTTAGTAGTACAAGTATTTAAGTTTAAAATCGACTACGTGACAGCGACAGCAAGTTCTAGAGAGTATCCAAAGTTCTTTTTTTTTTTTTCCTACTGTACGAGTATATATAATTTTATACACAGAGTTATCCATCTATGAATACATAGCATAGCGATGAGACACATAGAGTATTTCTTTTCTTTGTACACAAACAAATTACTTTTTGAAGAGGTGCTCTATATATATATATAAACTATACTATTATATATATGTATATATATGTAAATATATATAGTAGACAAGACAACGAAAACAAAGTAAACAACAACATAGAGTTTAAATCGAGACTTCAGATTGTGTTTAGTTTAGCACCGAAATATCGCCGAGCGACTGAGCTTTTGGTTCGCTCTGTGAAAGTGTGAAACACAATTGGAGAGAGGGATAGCCTACAACAAACAGTGTATACACAGAGAGAAACACAGAAAGAGGGAACACACAGGAAGGAAAAGAGGGAAATGTTGGCAGCTCCGCACTTGCCAACAATTATTGTTATAATTATTATAATTTTTTTTTGTTTTGAATGAGGTGAAATTGGAAAAAAAGTTTAAAGTTACAGTACAGTTTTTTTGTTGTAAAAATGTGGATGTTTTTTTTTTAATTTATCTTTAAATCGAAAATGAAAAACTTAAAAAAAAAAAATTTAAAAAGAGAGACAGAGATATAGACAGAGAGAGAAATATTAGGAAACGAATGTCGGAGAGATGAATATGTAAACACATTGAACATACTAAATACATACACATATATCTACATAAATATATATATATATGTACATATATATATATATATATATATAAATATATATATGCGAGCTAATTGATTGATTTGACTAGTTGGTGGATGGGTTTCTAGGTTTGCAGTGTACGAGTAGTTCACAACAGCAATAATGAATAAGAGGGATATATATATATATATATATATATATGGTATATATAGTATATATATATGAATATATATATATATATATACATATAGAGAGCGATAAAATAGAGACAGAGAACGGTAGTTGTTTGTTGTGTTTGTTTGTTGGTTTGCTGGTTTGCTTTGTTTGATTGTTTGATTGATTGATGATTGGCGAACCTCGCAGGTGGCAGCCGTAGCGCAGTTTGGTAATATTTCCTATAATTCTGTTGCCCTTATAAATCAGCAGTGTGTCATTGTACGATATTGTCTCGTTGGGCTCAATATCGAACCGAAAGCCGTTGCAACAGAATCCCATGCTTATATCGCATATCTTGGGCGGCTCTTCAATAATGCGAGATGTGTCTAGAATGTGGATGGATTGGATGTTTTGTTGTGATGATTTCGTATTTATTTGTCGGATACATGATTTTTGTATGTTATTTTTTTTTTTGTGGGTGGTGTTGTGGTGAAAAAAAATAAAGTTGAGAGATTTGTTGAAAATTGTATAAAATATGATTGAAAGATAGATCGAACGAGAGGGAGAAAGTAGCTAGCTTAAATCAAGGTGGAGATCAATAGATGAACACCTATATGAATAGGGAAAATGGATAGAAAAAGAGAGAACTGAGGGAAGCGTTCATGAATCATTGGTGGATTTGGGTTTTGGCAAGGGCTTTGTATATGGCTAAAGTTTGGTGCCCATTTAGATCCCAAACTAAGGACTTAAGTCGATCCGGACTGATTGGTTGATGTTATTGCTATCATATTACACGCCATATGTGGGACGAGGCAGTAGTCGTTACTCACCGATGTCCTGGCAACGATCGCCAGTGAAACGTGGCTTGCACTGGCACTCCACATAGCCGCTGTTGCCTAGACCACAGCTCTGGGTGTTCTCCTCCTGGCAGGGACAGGTACGGCACTGACCGCTCTCATCCCGATAATGCAATGGGGCGCAATTCTCGCACGAATTGCCCGTGTAGGCAGACGGGCACTGGCACTGCTCAATGTCGACGGTATGCACGGCTCCGGGCTCAGCGCGCTCCACGGCCAGCTCCCATGTCACATCGAGTATGGAGGTGCGAGTTGTGGGTATTTTGGGTGTGGCACGAATCAGCAGATGCTCAACGTTGGTCAGCAGGCTGAGGATGTCGTGGCGGGTTGCGCTAACAGCACTGCCACGTTCTAAACGCTGCCAATTATCATCCTCGCTGAGGCGGACACTATACTCATCCGAATTGGACAACTCGGCCGGACGGGACCACATCAGACGCATGCCATTGCCAATGAGAATGACATCGTGACCGGGCATATATTGGCCAAAGGATTTGGTGGTCAGAGTGTAGTTCAAAAGGCCGCCATAGGCATTCAGCTGATTGCCCTGAACATTACCGCGCAGACTCCAATATTTGGTTGTATGAGTTAAAGTTGTACGTATACATATTATTGGGTAAGTCCACCATCAGATTCCTATCATCCATCTCCATCTGCTCGCCGAAATCGTCGGTGATCAGCGCCTTGTTGCTAATGAAATCAATGGCAATCAGCTGGCGGTAAAGCGATGCGGGTCGGCACTGGTTCGCCTGGCCGGAGCAGAAGCACTCACTGCAACCAGACATATGGTCACGGGACAGACCGAAAGTACCATCCCGACACTGATCACAGCGATTGCCAACCACATTCACCTTGCACATGCATCTGTTGTTCACACAATTCTCGGTTCCATCGGCGTTGCACCAGTAGCAGTCATGCCGATCGTCCGACTCCGTGTCCGGTATGTCCGGCAGCCGTGAATTATCACTGCTCGGCTGGCAATCGTAGGGTGTGCCACTTGTTGCATCTCCCACATAACCGGGTGCACAGCGTTCGCAGTTCTCTCCCTCGGTGTTGTCGCCGCAGTTCTGTTAAGGGTTGGTCACCATAAATAATTAGACAAAGCATTCAAAAATCTCGCAAGTGTTTTTGTCCCTAAATTTCATTTTTTGGCTTATGAATGCAGATGTGCTACTTACCAGACACTCGCCCGTCTCTGCTTCACATTGGCTGGAATGGCCATTGCAAGTGCACTGCTCGCACGCACCCAGATAGAGGCCCTCCTCGGGATTGCGCTTGAAGCCGGGGGCGCACCGTTCGCAGGAGAGTCCAATGTAGCCCACTGGGCAGCGGCACTCCTCCACTTCATAGGCACGCGGAGTGCCCTGATTGTTGGCACTGGCAATGTCCAAGGCGACATGCTTGAGCGAGCCTTCCATGGTACCGGTCGTATACGTCGCCTTAATATAGATGGCATCGATCTTGCTGAGTGCCATCAACAGATGCGGCCGATTTATGACTTGGCCATCGCTGCGCTGCCAGGCGCTCTCAACAATGGGCACGGCATACGAGCTGGATGTGCTGGGACTAACAGATGACTTGCGATAATGGATGAGTGTGAGATCTTCGCCGCTCTTGATGACAACATCGGGTGCATTGTTGCGCGACATCTGACCACCGGGCAGTGGACTGTAGCTAAGCGTGTAGTTGAGTCTGCCGCCATAGGCGGTCAGCTTGTTGCCCAGAAACTGGGCGGGCAGGCTCCAGTACAGAGTGTCCGCACTGTAGTCCGAATCGGATGAGAAGCTAATCGCATTGGACAACGTATTGAATGGCACCGCCTGTGGCGTGGGCCGTGTGTAATCACGGACCAGCGTGAAGCCGTGCGGGGCACTGGAACGGCCGAAGCTGCTGCTGATCTGGTCGCGATACCACGAAGTGCTCGTACAGTCCGCCATCCAACCACTGCAGAAGCACTCAATGCAGCCAGTGTACGTGAACGAGTTCAGATGGAAGCTCTTTGGTGCACAAGTGTCGCAGCGATCGCCCATGACGAGATCCTTGCATTGGCACGTACCGTTGCTGTAATGATTGTAGGTGCCTTCAACGTTGCACATCGATTCCGGTGTCTTGTGGCAAGAGCCGCCAGGCACCAATGGATTGCCCTGATAGCCGGCGGCGCAGCTTTCGCAACGTCGTCCCACATAGCCCTCATAGCAATTGCAGATGACGTCGCCGTCGGGACTGAGTTGGCAGCCATTGGCAAAGTTGTTGCTGCCGCTGTGCGGGCACGGACAGTCACGGCATTGGATGCCTCGACGCGGATCACCATAGGTGCCGACTGGGCAGGGCTCTGCAACGAACGGCACACAGCGACCCAGCCAGGCTCCGCCGGGCTGGCGCACATAGCCGGGGGCGCAGGTCTCACAGGAGTCGCCAACATAGCCGGGCGGGCAGTTGCACTTCTCGACGAGGGAGGCGCTGCCCAGGCCTTGATCGGATGTGCCTGCCGAATCCATTGCAATGTGAACAACCTCCACTTCGCGAGCCATCGAAATGTAGCCGAGACGGATCAGAATATTGTCCACATTGGCCAGTATCATCATGAGCTCCTCGCGTGTCGCCTTACGCCCGTCGGGCTTCAGCCAGTTGCCCGGCATAAAGCTGATGTCCACATTGTTGGCCAGATTGGGCTGGGTGCGTACGGCATAGGTGAGAATGAAACCGTTGCCGGTGATTATGACATCTGGTCCAGAGACTGGACTTCCACTGCCCATATAGTTGATCTCGTACTTGAGGTGGCCACCGTAGGACTTCAGTTGATTGCCCATGTAATCGCTGGGCAGGGCCAAATAGGGTGCCTCCCGACTATTGTATTGCACGTCGGAGGCACGGAATTGTAAGCCATGGTTCAAGTTGACCAAATTTTGTGAGGGCACCTCATTGATCACGATCTGTTGATAGGGACTTAGATCGACGCTGACCACACGATGCGATATAATTGGCGGCTGTATGGCATAAGTGAAGAGATTGGCACTCTCGCACGCGCTAGCGACTCCAAAGCAGAAGCACTTGATGCAATCGTCACGGGAACGAGCCAGCATATTGAAGAAGCCGGCGGGACAGAATTGATTGCGTTCGGGAATCACTGTCACAATCGTATCGGGGATTACGAAGTGGGTGCCGATCGTATTAATTATCTCGCAAGAGTAGGCGCCGCTATCTTGATACTGCATGTTCGGGCAATAGAGATCGCCACGTCCGCCCGCGCTTTTCGATATACACTTGTCGGGCACATGGCCCCAATTCAGGCGCCACACAATCGTCGGCACCGGCACACCAGTTGCTGTGCATGTCAAATTCAAGGACTGACCCTCCATCAGCGTTTCCAGCGGTGGTGGTGGACGTATGGGATTGGGTGATACTGTAAATTGAATATCAAAATGTTGTAGTGTGTTTTACTCTACCTTTCTTCTTAACATTAATATTAGCATTTGCTACTTATTGTCAAGCACCTCACTCTTTTTTAAACAATTTTCCATTTGAGACAAATTAATTTCAAATTGTGTCGAATAGTTAATATATGGATTAATAAATAATACTTACTGCAACCGAACTCATCACTGCCATCGCGACAATCGTTCAACTTGTCGCACTGGAAACTCTTGGGTATGCAATGCCCGCTGGAGCATTGGAACTCATTGTAACGGCAGGGTGCACCATTTGGCTCCGGATCGCAAGACTGCTCATCGGAATTGTCACCGCAATCGTCTTCGCCGTCGCAGCGCCAGGTGCGCTCCACGCATTTGGAGTTCCTGCACAGGAACTGATTTGGCTGGCATCGGCGTCCCTGGCTGCAGCTGTGCTCATCCGAGTTGTCCGAGCAGTCTGGATAACCATCGCAGATTTTCGACTTGTCGATGCATTCACCATTCATGCAGGTGGCCTGGTACGCGCTGCACGCTGACGGTGGCCGATCGTATTCAGCATTATTAACTGTGTGGAATGGTCAAAAATACGTCAGCAGTTGCCATTGTTAAGTAGAGCTCTCAATGGAGTACATTATTAGGCCTGCGAAAGTCCGCTTACCAATTCAAAAGCCATGGCGGCATTTTGGATTTAGAAAGATATTGAGATATTAGATTGAAAGTAATCATTGGCAAGACTAAATGAGCTGAATGCGGTCAAATATCAATAGACAACTCTATATACTCTATATAATTGCATGCTTTCAATATAAGAAATTTCGAAAACCTTGAAATATATACATTGTTGTAAAACTTAGAAGGCAACCCCGGTGGGCCCACAACTAGAGCGCCCACCCGTACGGCAAACTAGTAAAATTGAGATAAATTGTGAAGCTAATAGGTATTCTAGGCACATACAGAGAATATCCCTGTATTTGGTATCTACAAGTGGTTAGAGACTAGAGGTACACACTAGAAGGTACCGAGTGGGTACCTCCGGTGAGATGTGGGATGGGCGGATACTTATTATGTATAAAAAGAGATCTGTGGATTAGACCTAAGCCAGCTCTAAAGTGGAAGATTAGTAAATGCTGCACGTTTACCAAGGCCAAAGAACTCGAGATCAATATGCGGCACGGTGCCATACTTGATTCGATTCGATTTGGGCTCCTCGTATTTGTGCTCTCCCCAAGCTGCGTCCATGATGATGAGTAGCAGGAGGGAGACCGATTATTGATTAATTACCCAATCATAATCATAGAAGGAACTATAACCGCTATACAATCTATCCACTTACAGCGTTCCACATTCAGGTTGACGGTGACTTGTTGACCCTCAACGTAGGCTGGATAGCCAACGGCTTCGCATATATAAGTGCCAGAGTCCTCCACCTAGAAGAAGTGTAGTTCAAAGTTGGAGTATTCTTATGATATTATGACAAGAGTAATGCTTGAACTTACGCGAATGTTAGGTATTTCCAGGCGTCCACCCTTATCGGAAAAGCCAACGGGCAAGGGACGACCGCCGGGACGTGACCACTTGACCTTGGCACGGGCTGGACCCTCGTCACGACAACGGAAGATGACCTCGCGACCTGTGCATGCCACAAGACACATTATTCAAGCATATGGATGGAATAGATATACATTTTGGGAGTATTGCGAGCAAATTACTGGATCTAGTTGGGACTATCATACAATCGTTGTGTGCTAATATTTTCATGTGTTTTGTTTTTTTTTTGGGATTGGGATTTTTGAAAGGTTTGTAGCAGGTGGGTGCTGAGCAGCCAGTATAATTTCGACAAGAATGTACAACTCCGGAACCGGTTGCCAATTGCTGTGGTGCAGTGGTGCAGCGGTAGGGCGAGACGAGTGTCAACTACTTTAATATAGTGAGTAGTTAGGTCAACTTACCCTCCCTAATATATCCTGCAGGTATTTAATTTATGGGGTTATGTCATTTTTGGTTGGGTTAAGCATTAAAAGTAATGGTAGAACATTATGTTGAGTCGAGTAAACATATTAAACAAATACAAAGAACAAAAGGAAAGAAAACAACAACAAAAATCGAAACGATCTTCGAATTTGATCAAAGCTGCAGTAGGGCCTTGCAAGAGAGATATTTTTCGATCAAAGTCAAAGTGGTTTTCGAGCAATCGATAACATATATTAAGCTGTTGACATTGTTTATCGATAACAGTTATCAGTCGTTGTATCTATTGCAAGGCGTACTCTCAGCTTTAGTACTCGTGGACATCTCGCTTCTTGGAACAAACCAAACACAAAAGGGACTCGGAATACTAACTGAATACTCACTTTCTTTAATGATCTGGCTACTGGGATAGGTCTTCAGGTTCAGCTGGCTGCGTCCAGACTGCGGCGGATCGGATGCTGTGAAAAAGAGAACAATATATTCGAGCATTAGATAATGTGTACATTTGTACATTGTCGCACATTTACTATTATAGATCATTATATACAATATATATGAGCAATAACCCTGACGCCTGATCTAGCCTTTTAGTAGCTACTTAGGTTACTTGATTGGTAAAGTTACGATGGTTGTTGTTGCTGGTGGGGTTTGTGCTGACACCGTTTTGCTGGAGGGAGTGTGGGGTTTTCGGTTCGATAACCACTTACTATCGATCTCGTTAGTGATGGGCGCGCAATCGAGCTCATCGCTGGCATCGTACGGACAATCGATAACGCCATTACAGCGCGATCCGAGCGATATGCAAGGACCATTCTCACACCGGAACGTCGTCGATGGACAGATTATGCGCAGTGGCACCAACGGCATTGTGGTTGTTGTCGCACTTGTTGCACTTGTTGTGGTTGTTGTTGTTGTTGGGGCTATCGATGCGGGTCTACTGCTGCTGCTAGCTGTATGTTGATGACCTTATGTCAATCACCGATCGATGATCAATGATGGTATGGATGTGGATGTGGATGTAGATGTGGTGAGTAGATGTGTGCAGCTAATGCTGACTATAACTGAACAACTCTGCCAACTCTGGCTACTTACCACAATCTTGCTCATCAGAGCTGTCCTGACAATCGGTTCTGCGGTCGCAACGCATCGCTGAGCTCACGCACTGTCCGTTCCGGCAGCGGAATTGGTTTGCCTGGCATTGCATCGGGTTGCAGTTCTCCTCATCGGATCCATCCGAACAGTGTGCGTAATTATCGCAAACGGCGTCCAGGGGCACACAGTCGCCATCGCGACAGCGGAACTGATCACGGGCGCAGCCTGCGAGGGATTTAAGAAGCAGCAATTAGTGAACCGAGTTGTATTTAGATATATAGAGTATGCTACTGCTGTACGGAGTTGAAGGCTAGGTAAAAACAAATATTATATAAATCGATTATTATAATAATTATTATTATATTTTTTTGTTTTTTTTTTTTTGATTGGAGTAATCATAAGAACCAAATTAATCTGAAGGGTGCATAGACATGTGTAACTTTAAGGAATCTGGGTATCTGACTTAAACTTGTACTAGGTTTCATCTTTTTTTTCTTCCAGATAGCATGCAACTGGCTTAAATAAAAACTTAGGATGCAATGCTAAACATAAATATAAAACTACATTCTATAAATTTATATATATATATATATATATATATGTTTACATATAAGTATATATATTTATATATGTATACAGAAATAGAACTAACTACTTTGAGCAGCGCTTTCACAACAAAACTTGTGAAAATGCTACAAATTTTACTGAGGCGGTGGTTGCTAAACAAGTAAAATTTAAAGTGAGAATAATTTGCTGAAAAACTTATTAACCAATACAGTTCTGTTCATCGGAAAAGTCTTTGCAGTCGTAGAAGCCGTCGCAGTGCTGTGTTGCATTTATGCAAAACTGTCGATCGTAACAGAAAAACTCGCTATCCTTGCATTGAGTACCTGTATTCAGATTTAATTTCATTTATGTTTTGTTTTTTTTTTTTTGTTTGTGCAATTTAGCAAGGGGTTTGATAAAAGCGTAAAAAAAAAAGAAATACGTGAGAGATATTGAAAATAGAGAACAATAATATGCATAGGCGCATTGCATGTATTTATAAAAAAGGTTCACAAAAAGGGGACAATGTGAGCAAGTGAGAGAGTGAGAGACACTGCGAGAGAGAAAACAAGTGTAAAGCAACCGAAAACACTAATCAAAGTGCATACATACATATACATACATATTGGAGTACGAGTACGAGAGTACATCAACAGCAAACTTAAAGTGCCTGTGCCATATGAGAAATGAAAAGTTTCGGTTCCTACAAATACTGAAATACTGTGCTCCCATTGCAATCAATATAGATATTCGGACTTCGGCCGAAGACTGCAGACCCTTGCAGAGAGATTATGTACGATACGGCAATCTTATTCGAATGAAAATCTTTGACATTTTGTAGCACTCAAAACTAAATTATATCTCTTTGCTAAATATATAGATGTTGTGTTACAGTTACTTAGTACTTCACTAGTGGCCTGCTACAAGATAAGATGCTTTAAGATATGGTTGGCAGCTGTATACAGTCAACAAATAGCAGAAGCAAATCCTAAGTAACCCTTGATCAAATTCGGATAGACAGTTGAATATGGCTATATCGATTATACATATACTCTGCAAGTGTGCGATAGTAATATATCAACCACATTTAAGCCTCTACTTAAATGTATTTTTGATTGTTCGTTTTCGAGTGAGATCCTCACAATCAAATGTGGCTTATTGAATCCCCACTACGGATTTCTTTTTAGTAAAAACTTTTAGTTTTTGTTCCGTGTGTCTCACTTGTCTGTGTGAGTGTGAAATGAGTGAGAGTGTGTGTGTGTGTGAGCTTGTTTTGGGTAAGTGGGTAATACGAGTTGGGAGCATTAAGGTATAACTTACAGTTCGCCTCATCGGAGTTGTCTTCGCAATGACGATGGCCATCGCAGCGTTCGCTTTCCGTGTAACACCTGCCACTGGGGCATGCATGCTGTGGACAGGGCAGTGGTGGATAGTATGGATGACGTGTGTGATGCGTGGTGTGGCAGTCATGCTCATCGCTGCGGTCGGTACATTCATAATGACCATTGCAGCGTATCGAACGATCGAAGCATGAATCATCGCAAAAGAATTGATCCTGGCTGCAATCTTTGGCCGTTAAGCGAATGGTGGCTATGATTGCGATTGCGATTGCCATTGCGATTGCATGCGATATTTATGTTGATGTATGCATGTTGATATCGTTATCGATAGCCGATTATTGATAACGTTAATGCGCGTGTGTTGGTGTTGATGATGGTTTTGGTTTGTTTTGTTTTGTTTGTTTTTAGCGTAACAAGAAAGAGAGACAAGAGAACGAAATGAGCAACGCTTGTTATGGCAGTAGTCGAGATCATTAAAGCGGCGCTTTCAAGCATATAAACACAACCTCACTTAGTAAGTATATATTATAAATATAACAATTACAAACCTGTCTGACATGATTATCACGGTAATCGGAATGCTTAGAGTCTAACTTACAAACTATGTACTTAAATCTGTGGGTTGGGTAAGTTTGGTTTTGGTAGTTTTCGGAGTGGGTTTGGACGGATTTATTTTTTTTTTTTTTTATTGGGGAGGATGTTGTTTGGGGGCAGTGCTTTGGTAGAGTTGAGTGTAGTGGGCGGTTTGAATGGAATCGTGTATATATCGTTACCCCGTCCCAAGCAATTTTTGGGCAGTTCATCCGATTTGTCCTGGCAATCGGCTTGTTTGTTACACACAAGAACAGCGTTAATGCATTCAGAGTTCGCGCATTGCCATTGCCACAATTGGCACCCTATAATTGTTGTGGTATTTCTAAAATGGTTGCTGCCAGCTGTGATGTCTTTTGTTGTTGTTGTTGTATATGTGAGTGTGTGTTTGTGTGTGTGTTTGTTTGTTTGTTTGTGTATATGTTGTTATTAAGCCAAAAGAGAACAAAACGACAAAAATAACAAACATAAAAAAAACGCATGAGCATTAAAAAATTCTGCAAAATGATTGTGACTGAGTGAAGTAAAAGACAAAAATAAAGGCAAAAAGAGAGACAGACCGAGAGAGAGAGAGAGAGAGAGAGAGAGAAAAGAGAGAGAGAGAGAGAGAGAGAGCGAGTGCAAGTGCAAGTGCAAGTGAAATGAGAGCAATGCAGAAATTAAAGTTTTCGAAGGCATCGTTGAATAGTTAAAAAGAGCGCAGGCAATGCGAAATAGGAGGAGCTCTATTCAAGCTACTGTAAACAAATTTCGATATCATTTTGCATAATTATCGATGTTTAATAAATAAGTGCTGGCATTGCAAAAAAATAAATAGTAGCAGTCTAAGGAAGTGAGCGAAATCAGTGCAAGCTGAGAGCTTTAGCTGCACAAATAGTTATCGATAGTTTTCGATTGCCACAAATGATCAGTGCTGATACATTTGTTGGAAAATGTGGCTGTGTGCTTGTGGATAGTATTAATAATATATGTATATGTAAATGTATAATGAATGCAATTGTTACCCTCGCAATCGAGCTCATCGATGCCATCGTCGCAATCGAATTTATTATCGCATCGCAGCGAAGAATCGAGACAGTTGCCGTTGCAGGCAATCTGATCGGGCGCACAGACGCTACCTTCAAAACGTGACAGATCAATAAAAAGATGTACAAAATATCAAAAAATAAACACTGTAAAATGCAATATTACAACTATCACAACTATTAAATTGCTACAATTCCAAAATACAAAGACAAATACTAAATCGAAAACTACTAATTCGAAACTGCACAACAAATTAATAATAATAATAACCCAAAATATTATGCCATTTTTACGATATATGTAGCTACAGTTGCAGTGCTTGATTTTCGGTATAGGCTGGTACTGGGTGGGACTGGGAGAGTTGTGTTGAAAGTGTTTGGGGTATTGGGTATTTTGAGGTACTTATCTGCTTACCACAGTTGAGCTCATCGCTTGCATCGGAGCAGTCAACGATGCCATTGCAATGCAGTTTGGATGCAATGCAATCGCCAGTGTTGCAGCTGGCCAAATGAGCGATAATCATATGGTGATCGTGTATATGGTGTTGATGACGATGACGATGATGTTCGTGTGTGTATGTGTGTGTGTGCGTGTGTGTGTGTGTGTGTGGTGCGTTGTGTATTGTATGTGGGGTACATAAAAGATAAGATAGTGGATCAGGTTAAAACGATCAAATGCGACCGATTGTGTGTGTGTATGTGTGTGTGTATTTGCTGTGTGTGTGTGTGTGTGTTTGGTGTTGTATCATGTCTTACAGATAGGCGTCTTCGCGACAATAAGTACAGTTACGCTCGTCGTTGCCATCGTTGCAGTTGACGATACCGTTGCACAGCTGATCGCGTGGTATGCAATAGTCATCGCACTCGAACTCGTGCTCTAGGCAATGCTCTGCAAAATGATCATGATTGATGCGTGTGAATGTGAGTGTGAATGTGAGTGTGAGAGTGTGAGTAACATGGCTTCAGTTTGCCCCTAAATCTATTTGGGGTTAGGGTTTAGTTTTATTTCTGAATAGAGTAGTCAAGCAAGTGTGTGTGTATGTGTTATGCGTGTGAGTGTGTGTGTGTGTGAGTGTGTGAGTAAGGGGTGTAAGCGAATAAATGAGTGTTTGTGTTTACCTGTCATGGCCGGACAATCGAGCTCATCGGTTTGATCTTCACAGTCCGCATAGCCGTCGCATTTCTTCTCAAAGGGTATACACTGGCCAAAGTCACACTCAAAATTATACAGATCGCACTCATTCAATGGATCGTTGTCGGGGTCTGTGTCTGTGTCAGTGTCTGGATGTTGTATATGGGTATATGCATACATGGTATGTAAAGATGATAAAATATAAAATAAATGCAGCGTCAGATGATGAAATACTCCCAAAAAGCCAAAACGAACAACTTGAATACACCCCGACCCCCCTCCCCACCCCCCTTGGCCCAGCCATAAACTATAACTTAGTTAATAAGATATGTATATGCATTTTCAGGTTAGTTTTGCAAAATCTATCGCAGATTGTGAGGATTGAGCATCTACCATAGTTCGTATCGTCGTAATTGATCAGACAGTTGTACTCATCGGCGCCGTCGGCGCAGTCGGTGATGCCGTTGCAGCGTTTGTAGCCGGAAATGCAACTCCCATCTCCGCATTGGTATTGAAAGCTCAGGCACTCGACGATTGGTCGGCTCTTATTGAACTTGGCATGAAAGTCTGATGTTGAAGTATGATGTTTTTGGATGATATTGTATGATGGATGTTTGTTGTTGTTGGTGTTGGTGTTTTTTGTTGATATTGTTGTAGTAGTAGTTGTTGTTGTTGTTGTTGTTGTTGTACACAAGCATTGAGCATGGGTCACAGAGAGCAAAACAGAGACAGAGACAGACAGGAAGACAGCGAAAGAGAGACGACGATATTACCCAGTTCAGATCGTGGATAATTTCAATTTGGTTTTTGGTTTTTTTTTTTTTGGTTTTTTTTTTTTGCAGAAAAGATCATGGAGTGTAAAAAAGAAGAAGAGAAAACAGATCAGTTAGCGGCATAAAAACTAAATGTTCTACCCTTTAGCAGTTTAGAGGTGTGGGAAAAACATGGGGGGAGGGGAGGGCGGTAAGAATTTGGCGATGTGCATTTATAGCAAAAAGCAATAAGCTAAAAAAAACTAAAACCTAAATTGTACCAAAATTAATTATAGATTATAATATACATCTAGAAATGATCACAAATTGGCTAATGAGCAAACTTTAAGCCAAAACTTTAGTATGTTCGAGTTAATTGATTAAAATAGTAACTACGCAAGCTATCCGAAATAAATCAAAACAATATATAAATATATATTAAAATCGTTGAATTACTTAAGCAACTGAACACTCAAGTTGGGCACGTGTCAGATAATAAATTAGATACGTTTCTTCAATTCAAAAATATTATAGATACCCGGTAAATATATTAGAAATGGTTAGTGGATAAGTAATTCATATTCATATCGAACTGCAGCCTAGAATTGTGAGTGCCAGATTGAGTGAGTGTAAAGTGTGACTATGGAGGAGTGCATGCATGGGGAGAAAGATATGAATTGATAAGGTAGACTTTCATTGACTGCTATAGTTGTTGTTGTTGTTGTTGTTGTTTTTGTTGTTGTTAGTGTTATTATCGTTGTGATTATTGTTCTACTTACGACATGCGCTCTCATCGCTACCATCGCGGCACTGAGATTTGCCATCGCAGACTTGAGTTTTAGGTATGCAACCGCCTCCACGCACACATTTGTACTGAGAATACACATGTTTGTATATGTATGGCATGATTGGGTGTCATTATGTGTGTGTGTGTGTGTAATGGGATGGTTGTATGGGGGTGTATGGGGCCAGAACTCACCTTGTCATTGCTGCAATTGCATAGCGAATAGTCCTCATCCTCATGCTCCTCGCAGTCGGGCTCGCCATCGCAGACGCTCTCAATCGGTATGCAATCGCGATTGTGGCACGCGAATTCAATGTTTTCGAGGCAATTGCTTGGCAATGATGATGATGACCATGGCGATGACGATGATGGTGACGATGATGATGATGATGATGAGCTGGCTAAATGGTGTTTGGTTTGGTTTGATTTGGTGTTTTTTGTTTGTTTTTGTTTTGTTTTGTTTTTAATTGTGTGGATGATGTTGGGGGATGTCGGTGTTTGGCAGACAACAAGGCATATATGTATTTATAATAATACGAGCGAGCACGTTCATAAATAACAGGAAAAAAAAGAGAGACAGAGAGTAACAGTAAGTGAGGGTATATGAGGGACAGATACAGAGCTAGAGAGAGAGAGTATGCATATCAATTATAATAGAACAAAAACAAATTAAAGTGAATGAGGGAAATATTTTAAAATAACGTAACATTAAGAGCTAAATTAATCGGTTTACTTGCATAACTTGTTGGCTATGTGTGTATGTGTGCTGTGTATTTTGTCTGTGTGTGTTGTTGTTGTTTTTTGAGAGAGCTTATCTTAAGTAAGTTTCAATGTTTAATGGACGAGTCACAGACATGGCATGCAATTTGCTGCGGCCGACCCATCTCATCAAATTACACAAAACTAGCACCCAAGGAATGAGCGATGCAAGTCGACTCGTTGCTCGCCACTCGCCACTCGCCACTCGCAATACGCTAATCGTGACTTGTTGCGAGCCAACGGAGCTCGTTACTTGCCACTCGTTATTTATATAGCTCGTTATACCCAAGCATTGAGCGATTCGAAGCAAAACGCAACGAGTTGCTCGTGACACGCTACTCGTTAGTCTATTACCCAAACATTAAGCGATGCGTCGCAATGAGTTACCCGCTACTCGTTACTCGTTACTCGCTAGTTCGTTACTTTATACATAGGGAACCTACGCGCTGGATATCCTCTCGTTGTTATTTGGATTGGGTTAGTTGTTGGACGCGTTGCTGCCGTCACCCGGCTTGGCGGGGTGCTTGTTGTCTGGCGCTCCAGTGAGGCGGGCGGCACACTTGGCCACGGATAGTTCATGGTTGTTGGTGCACGCGTCACGGGTCGCCGTGTGGTAAATGGCGGAACATAGTGGTCACAATTGTCCTCGTCGCTCATATCGTTGCAGTGGTGGAAGCCATCGCAGCGCAGATGGTTCGGTATGCAAACGCCGTTGTTGCATCTGAACTGACTGCTTGTGCACGGATTTTGTTGACTCGACTTATCGTATTTTTCGCTTGGCAGGTATAGTTCGTACTCTCTGGCATCCTCTTCGTTGATCCCATATATAGGGATATTGTTATCGTTATCGTTGTGACGGCCAATTTTGGGTCTATGGTGGTCCGCATAAATTCGTATAATGCCATCCCCATCGAAATAATCGTTATCTCTATCGCGATTTTCATTGATTTCGTTCAAATCTGTTAGCCGCATTTTTTGTTTTTTTTTTTTTTTATTTTTGGGCGGGAAAAGGGTTTGTGTCCGCATGCGAAACCGGTGATGTTTATGAATAGGGGATAGGGATTATTGGGGGATGGATTGGACATTAAGTTTGATTTTAATTTTTATTCGTTTATAAGTTTTTTTTTTTGCATGCAAATTTTGCAGTTGAGCCAATTGTTGTTGTTGTTCCGGGAGTTGGATTGTAGTTGTTGTAGCGTGCAATTATTCGATTAGTTTTTGGACATTCGATAGCCAAAACCACAAACGTTGAAGTTTGTTTTTGTGTTTTAATGATTTTGGAACAATTGGAAAGAAGAGAAATAAAATTTGAACTTGTTAAATAATAGATCAAAATGTTGGCAGTTGACACGCAAACAAGCTACAACAAAGACGCGTAAGCACTTGATAAATATCATCTCGAAATGAAAAAGGAAACACAGAGATGGGGAGCAACAGAGAGAGTGAGAGAGAGAGAGAGAAAGAGACGCAGGTAGATACTGAGTTTGAGCAGGAAATAAATAGAGAGAGAGAGACGGAGAGAGAGAATCGTTTGCAAAATTGCGCTGACACCAAAAGTTACCAAACTAGTTACCAAAAAAAAGAAAAGCACAAAGAGCCGCCGAAAGCAATACACACAAGAGCTTATTTCATAATACGGACACAATTATCGATAACAATGCGAGACACAGGACTTACCGCAGTCTTGCTCGTCTGTGTAATCGCTACAATCGTAGATATTATCGCACACCTGACGCATCGGTATACACTCACCGTTCCTACAGCGGAACTGATTATGGCGACACTCCTCGGCATCGTAGCCACCTGAGTGTTAAGTGTCTGTGTGTTATTTTGTGTAATATGTAATGTTATGTTATCGGTTATCGGTTATCTATGACAATGGCTATGATTGGGTTAGTTATGCGCTGTAGCTAGTGTGGTGGTAGAATTAAATACATATATAAATCGAGAAATGCTGCACTCTCGGAGCTGAGGCTGATCAACGTTTGACAGCTGTCACAGCTCGAATTGATAACTGGGAAATAGTGTTGTGTATCGATAGAACGAGGGAGTGTGGGAGTGGAGGTAGGAGTGGGAGTGGTTGTGTGACCACAACTTACCTGTATACACATCCTGAGCAACTACTAGCACACACATACTCGCACTTACACTCACACTCAGACTCGCAACAGAAATGAGAAATCACAGATACACATCGATACACACACTCACCATCGCAATAGCGCTCATCGGATATATCCTCGGGGCAATCGATGTTGCCATTGCAGAGCAGCTCCTTGGCAATGCAAGTGCCATCATCGCATTGCCATTTGTCGTACAGACAGGCTGCATGTTTCAAACGGAGTCAGAGAGGGAGCATGAATAAACAAATTATAAATAAGGAGAGTGTACACGACAGTGTACTGCAAATCTCAACGAGAGAGAGAGAGAGAGAGAGAGAGAGGGAGAGAGGGAGAGGGAGAGAGAGAGTGCAGTTAAGACATACGGCAGCCTTCCTCGTCGGATCGATCGTGCGGACAATCGGTGCGTCCATCGCAACGATGCACAATCGAAATGCAGCTGAGATCGCGACAGGTGAATTTGCCCTTGGGGCACGTGAAGCGCAGCTTTGGCACAACTGGGCAGCACAACAAATAATACAAAAGAGAGACGGAGAGGTACAGAGAGAAAAAGAGTGTGTGTGTGTGTGAGAGAGAAAGAGAGTTAGGTAATGAGCAAATTATTGATTGATTGATTGATTGATGTATGCTGATCTAGCCACGGAATGTCAGATTGTTAAATGCATTACAACAAATTCGGTTCAAGTCTTTGCTACTTCATCAAAAAAAAAAAAGAAAAGAAAAGTGGATCAGAAATGATGAAGAAACAATTCTATTTAATATAGAAAATTCCTCCAGTTTCTCCTTATTGACTACAACAAATGAAATTGGCTGAAAACTATATATATAAATGAAAACTTTACAAGAGCATTAAGTCTTCGTGTTTTCCTTCTTGACTGCAGCTAAATTAATTTAATTGACTTCTAAATTTTTGTAGTTGTCAGTTTCCTTTCTGGCTTGGAGAAAGAAAGTTGCGAATTTATTCCTACTAAATGATTATTGAACTTGAGCTTTTGAATTCCGTGCAGATCAGCAAATGTTAATTGTGCTTGATTGATTGAGTGATTATCTGATTGATTGATTGAGTGAGGTGATTGATACTCACTTCCATCGCAGTGGTCCTCATCGTCGCCATCGTTGCAATCGACTTGGCCATCACATTGCTGGCTGACGCTGATGCAGCGACTGCCGTCGCGACATTGATATTCCATGTCGCTGCAGCTTGCGGCTGTTGCAAGTTAGTTACGGTAGGGGGATTATTTTGTTTGTTTTTTATTTTTTTTTTGTTCGGTTTTTAGTTTTAGTTGGCCCGTTTTTGCGTGCACAGAGCACGAGCAAGTGTGTGTGAGTATCAGAGAGAGAGAGATAGAGAGAGAGAGAGAGCAAATAATATGGTTAGTGGTTAGTGGTTAGTTGTTAATAACTCAAGTTAATCCATTGGGCTTATGGGGACAGGTTACCGAAAGCAAACTTATTATTATGCTTACGACCGATTGTGTATACTGTATAAGTTATCGGTATCGGTATTGGTAGCGGTTATCGATTATCTAAATGACTTACTCACGAGAAACTTAGTCAAACTTAGTTAACGCATTGACGCCCCCAATTAACTGGAGTTACGTCTACTAATAAGATACGTATGTGTATGTGTATAGACAGTGTGCATATGTTTGTGTGTGTATAAGTGTATGTGTGTGTGTATGTATCTATAGTACTGATAGATCTTGTCTCAACTATGTACTTACGGCAATCGTCGCCCTCATCATCGCCATCGAGACAATCTGGGACATTGTCGCAACGTTTGCTGTTATCAATGCAATCACCATTGCGGCATCTAAATTCATTTGAACGGCATTCTGGAATAAAAAAACATAAGATGGATTGTTTAAGAAAAACTCTCTATCATCATTTGAATACTCTGTAATTATGAGGGAGGTGTGAAAGGAGTATACAAGTTGATTATACAAAATAAATTCATAATTGAGCTCTTAAGTTGAGTAGATAAGGAGCATCAAAGTTTGAATGTGATCAGCAACTATAAGTTTGTGAGGCCATGAGGACCATTAACAAACTTATTACTAATTTATATTAGAAATAATTTAGAATCCAAAGAAAGCAGGGTATCTATCCAGTCCAGCACTCTCAAAGAAAAAATAGATATATTTATATATTTCTTTTTGGCACATACATATATTTTTGAACTAGCAATGGTGCAATTAGCCCTCAACCGGATGCATTTTAACAAGCATTTCCCACTTTTTCGCTGAATTTGTCAGTTACTAAACTTGAAAGCAAAAGTTTGTTAGGTGTCTGTCTCTGTCTCTGTGTCACTGTTGTGTGTCTATGTGTTGTGTGTTGATAAGTTGATAACCCTGGCAACCTACTAGCCTATGGCACACCTCCAGCTTTGCTTTTGCTACGGCATCGTTAGCCACAATTTCCTGTGCATGTTTTTGCCTTTTTGAACCCTTTTTTTCTCTGTGTGCCCCACCCCCGTCCAGCCCACGCTGATGCTGCTGCTGCCTGTTTTGGACAGGATACCTAAAATTCGAGTCAACTTAAGCATTTTCACAAATATTTTTCACACTTTTCATTCATCTTTGGATTATTGCTCTTGCTCTTGGCACGTCGACGCTTGAAAGTATGCAACACAAAGTGGCAAGCATCGCGGATTTCATTACAAGAGCGTTACACAAAGGATGACGAAGGGGGTACAGTGATAAAGGCATGGGAGGGGGAAGGGGGGGGGGAGGGAGTTGAGGGTGTGAGTGGTATCTACAGAGAGCAAAGGCTAATTAAAAGCAAAGACAACAGCCAACGGACAACAACTTGGGGGAGTGTCACTTAGCTCAAGTGTAATCAGAGCCAGCTTTAAATTTGTTTCAGCTGCTTCCTCGGACGAACACATAAAAAAAATAATAATTATTGTTGTTGTAGTTGTAGTTGTCATAGATTATTGCCGCAGTTTCTAGCCTTTGATATTGATTATTTAACTTCATTTTGTAATTCAATATGTCAATCAAAGTGCTTTCTTTTACTTCATTATAGTATCAATTAGTTCAAATTCTTCATACATAATCCCATCGGATACAATAAGTTCCTTCCAAACTATTCCAACATAATGTTTTGTGTATCCTTTAAACAAGATTCTCATCATATTTAACATAATCAGCTTACCATAATCAACATACTATGCAAAGTGTATTTTGTCTGCAGATTGCCGTTCGTTTTGACTTTACCTCATGTCTTTCATTGTTGGCAAATTTATTATTATTTTTATTGTTATTTAAATGTTGTTTTCCTTTAATTGTTGTTGGGTTATTCTTGGCGCATTCAATTAATGCAAATGCATTTTTTTTTGTTTTTGTTTTGGGATTTCTGACTTTGGTTTGAAGCTTTGGTTGTGGTTGATTGGGGCCATTGGCCGACAGAAATCAACAATTGTCGTCGTCGTGGTTAACTGCAGCACCAACTTTAACTACTTTTTGGGCGCTTACAAATCGTCAAAGTTTTTTACTCAGCTCGCAATTTGCAACACGAAGCTGCCAAAAGCGTTTTCTTATTATTATTTTTCTCTCCGACGGCCTACGCTTTTGTAAGCATGCACATAGGAAGTTTGTCTGGTCTGTGGCGCAATTGGCACGCCTCCGTGCCCCTTACCTGACGTACCCCGTTCCCTCTCCCCACACATGTCTTTCACAGCAGCGAATGCAGTTTGACAATTCCGATTGCGATTGGCGGCGCACTGCGGCGCCTCCAAGTATGCAACATAATTTGACAGGCGAGAAAGAAGAAAGAGAGAAGCAGAAAGCAAAAAGGTGCAGACAGCGAGTGAGAGGCAAACAAAGGTTTTGCTTATTGACATTAAAGATTCAATAATGGCCAACATATGGCAGCTGCCGGATTTAACTGCCAATCCCATCAGCCCAAAAAAAAAAAAAATATAAAAATATAATCAAAAAACTAGTAAGAAAAGGAAGCGATTGCTCGGCGATGAGATGCCCATGTTTTTTAAATATAAACTAAGAAAATAATAAAGTTGCAAAAATATATATTTAGTTAGAGTAGAATGTAGTGAGATATGAGCATAAACAATGTAAGTTAAATATATAAGTTGTTTTATGTATAGATATGTTATAATCATATAACAGATAGACAGATCTGATAGATACTTGAATGGATAAAATATACTGAAATGTGTCTATAGATAAAAGGATAGATGCAAATTGATCAATAAATTGAAATATAAGGAAAAAAACAAGATGGATGGACAATTTAATATAGATATGAGTGACTTCTGTAACTACGAATAGATGTCTTAATCTGTTGCGTATCCAATCAAAACTCTATGCTACTCTTTGTCGCCCAACTCAGGCGAACAGGGTATGTATGTAAAAGAAAGGCTTCCAATTATGAAGGAGATTTAGAATGCGGGAGATACGAGAGGGGCGGGAGGGGGGGAAGGGTGGCAGACAAACGGGCAGACAGGTGGACAGACGGGTGGTAAGCCATTTGCCGGCTCGTTTGTTGCTCAGGACATGGGTAAACAAATTACGTGCAGCATTTATAATCCGCAAAAGAAAAATCCAAGCAAATAAACAAAACCAACATTAAACGTAATTTGTGGGTGTGTGTGTGTGTGTGTGTGTCTGTGCTTACTTATTTTATTTCATTTTATTTTTTTGCCACAGAGGTCAAAAAGTTCACACAAATTGGCCAACATTTGCCAAAACAGGCAAACAGAATTTGGCTTCAGTCGCAGTCAAATCACAGTTGCAACAGAATTTGTTTGACTTCAGATGCTGCTGCTGCTGTACGCCTGTTGACTGTGCTGTGGCAGAGTAAGCAGTTGCCACACACACACACACACACACACAAACAAACACACGAAAACATACAGGAGCAGCTGCAACTGTTTCTTGAAGTATCAAATAACCGTGTGGAATTTCTCTCTGCTGCTTGCTTCAGTCTGTCTCTCAATCAACGCCTCCCTCTCTCTCTCTCTCTCTCTCTCTCTCTAGCATGTAATGAGAGGCTTGTCAGCAGGCGCACAGCAGCTCAAGTGAATGAGTGAATGAATATGTGAGTGTTTGAAAGTGTGTGAGCGAATGTCAGGCTGCATCTTCTCTGCAGCCAGTTGCACTGGAACTTAAAGCGCGCCGCCTGCAAGTATGCAGCACATAAAAAGCAATAGTCGAAAACTAAAAACAAAGATAGAGAGACAGAGAGGGAGAGAGGGAAAGAAAAGGAGAGAAAGGGAGAGAGCGAGGGAGAGACGCAAATTGACTTGGGGCCAGGTACTAAATTCGAGACGATAATTGATACGCCGAGCATGGAAAACGCAAAGCGCGCAAGCCAAAACCGCAAACAAACAAAGTTGAGTGGAGTGGAGTGCGAGTGCGAGTTTCAGGTGGTGCGGGTGGTGCACAATGGGTGACTAGATGTTTGGGTTACCCAGCCCTGGGGTTTTGTTTGCTGCTGGTTAGTTACAACAGCAATATAAAACAAAGCAAATACACGCGCTGACTCGACTACCAAGCTACTCTGTAAAGCGGTTAAGGGCAACAAATCGCAAAAGATTTATAGTAGTAAAATCAAGAAAACTGCTCATAAATCTTAATAGTTAAATTTTTATGCCCAAATTATGTGAATCGATTGATAGCATAAAATGCCTCATTAGATGTACAACAAATTTTACAATTATAAGTTAAATATAAATCGAAAAAATCGCAAAGGAGACAAATGCAGCAATCGAGCTACGCAGAGGCACCAGACTTAAGATAAGCCAAATATCGCCTTAGACAGAAAAAGATGAAGTATGCTATTGAAACATATCCTAAATTCGGAACACATAAAGACCCTTAACGCGACAAAAATTCTGGAATTCCTGCAAGAATCAGAGTTAATGGAAGAGCTGTAAGTGAAAAATGGAACAAAACAGATCCAATTAGGTCGCAGGTCTAGTAATAATAATAAAATTAAACACTTCATATAAATATTAAATATTTACAATAAAAACTGAATTTGTTTTAATTTGACAGATTCAACTGTTGAAAGCTATCGAGTTTGCCTGACCTATAAAATAAGTAACTATATATACGAGAATTACTGTTTTAGTGGGTTATTTAATATTTATACTATTTTTTAATAGTTATATTAATCGATTTCTTCTTCATGGGCAATTAATTGAAATCTCGTATACCTTATTTAATACCAGCATATAAATATATATCTACCTGTACTATTTGATGCAACGATCTATGCTATCTTAACATATAAGTTGAATAAGGCATGATATCTGTCTTATCTTTAAGAAGTAAATTGCAAAGCATTTTAATTCTCTGCTTCTGCTCTACAGCCAACAATCCCATCTGTGTGAGTGTGTGTGTATGTGAGAGTGCTGCTGCTGCTGCTGTCGTTTAAAAGCGCTTGTTTTTTAGCAGCTTAACAAATTTTCTTGTGGTTGCTATTGTGGTTGTTGTCGTCGTCATTTGGTAGTAATAAAAAGTATTTTGATTTGATTATTGCTCGTTAGCGACACTGTATCCCCCGTCACCCCGTCACCGACTCGCTCAACCACTCAGCGACATTTTCGGTGTGCGCTGATCGACTCATTAACTCACTTATTTGCTACAAAGTGCACACAACAGACACAACGCCCTCCACCTCGTTTCTAGACCACCCTAGCCCAACCCGAAATGGACTAAAAAAAATGGTCCTTTTACCGCTTTAAAGCAATTTCGGTTCGAAGCGTTGCTTAAAGTCTGCCACGCAATAAACTGACAAGTTTCATTCACCCATGCAAATGAGTTATTAGGCAGACCTCCCTTTTCACTTGTAGACTTCTGCGATTACT